CAACACCACAAATCTGTAACCTAATTGTTGGTTGCAGAGAGGCCCCCAATTCTGCCGCTGTGGGTTTCAAATGTGGATTCTGGAGTCAGACTGTGGGGTTTAAATTCAGGCTGTATGTTAATGGGATGAATCACTTTGAACAAGGCGCTTCTCAGACCCGAACTGTGCACCAGGATGCTGAACAAGACCCAGTGTCTTCCAGCCTTCAAAAGAACAATTCCCCTTTCTCCTCCGTATTTATTGAGCCCCAACTGTATGCAGGGGACCTGTGGGTGCAGGTGCGATCCTCCCTCGCTCCTGGGTTCCAGCCTCAGCCTTGGGGGCTTGCTCTGGGCACCTGCTTCTCTGGGCGCAGCTGACAGACTCGCCACAGATGCCACACACAGCATCCAGTGGACTCAAGGCACAGAGGCCCGGTGCACAGGGAGCCAACACAAAGGGACGCACGCACACGGGCACACTCCCTGCTAATTCCTGCCTTTGAGAACAGTCTCTGGTCTGTCATCCCCACTCAGTGTTGACAAAGCAAAATAAAAAATAAAAAGAAAGAAAGAAATCCACCCTGTCACTTGGACTCCCCACCCTGCCAGGCTTGGCAGCCCCACCCCCACCCCCGCCTTTGTATTATGGGTTTGTGTCAAGGTGTGTTGGATTCTAAATTAAATGTCAGCCCACTGTACATTTCTGGCTCCAGCTGCAGAAAATGAGGAGCTGGCGTTGGAGACCATCCAGTTGTTCAGCTCCCCGTGCCTAACCGTGAGGGGTGACAAGCCCGTTGAATCACCGCACAGCACCTTTCCGTGCCATGGGAAGCCAAGACAAATTCATTTTTAATGATAAATGTGACTGTCAGAGTTAAGTTGGAGCAGCTTTACAGGGAGAACTGAGTGCCTGTGGCAGAGCAGGGCAGAGGCTGGGTGGACGAGGGCCAGAGGTCCTGACCTCTTGGCCAGCCAGCCCCAGGCCCCGGGAGATGGGCACATTTGACATTCCCTCCACGTTCGCTGAGTCCCTTGCTGCAATCCGGTTCAGGAGCTCTCAGACAAGAGGCGCCAAGGCATTTGAGAAAGAGAGTGGGTTCCAGCAGTGCACAGACCAGGGCTCAAATCCTGGCCCCACCAATTTCTGTGTGACCTCGGTGCAGGCACTTCTCTCTGAAATGCAGTTGTCTCGTCTTTTAAACGGGGATATTAGCAATACCCACAGGTCTTGGGTGAGGATGACTTAAGTAAGAGGTAGTGCTCACGAGCAGGGTCTAGCACAGGGGATATACTTACCAAATGGTGATTTGGTATTGATTATACAGTTTTTTATAATGTATTTTAAAGTATTAGGGATTGAACCCAGAGCCTGTCACATACTAGGCAAGGGCTCTACCCCTCAGCTACATCCCCAGCCTGGTTTTTACTTTCTATTTTGAGGCTGGGCCTTGCTAAGTTGTCCAGGCTGGCCTTGAACTTGCCATCCTCCTGCCTCAGCCTCCTGAGTGGCTGGGATAAAGGTGGGCACCAACACACCCAGCTTATATTATTAAGGAGACTGCTACTGTGCTGCGTAAGTGATCTTTCCACGTCCATTTCCTTACCTATAAAAGGAGATGGTAAGAGCTCCCACCTAGTAGAGGGGCTGAGCAGAGGGTGATACTCAACAGATGGCAACTGGCCCAGGGGTGGCACCTGGATATTGTCACCCTATGTCCCCAGCTACTCTTCCTTGTCCCCTCATTAGCACTCTTGGTTTCTGTCCCTCCCACATGGTGTGCCTCACTGTCTGCCCCACACCCCTCCCTGTGTCAGGTCCCCAGGAGCCACACCCTCCCAGTAGGCTGCAGTGGGCACCTGTCAAGGACCATGCCCAGGCCAGCTGACAACCTGTGATTGATAAGGCCTGGTCTACAGGGCGAGTGGGTCAGATCAGAGCCCTTCCTTCTCCCTGGAATTTAAACTAAGTATCTCAGACAGGGCCTTGTCTGTTGGGGAGTTATCGCAGCAAGATGGCCACAGAGAAGAAAACAGATTAGTGAGGAAGAGAGGGGTGGCAGGGGACAGGGCAGCCTTGGATCTGGTCCCATGTGGCCTGCAGGCCCTGGGCTCTGGCCTCCCTGAGATGGATCCTGGGCTGGCTGGGAAGTCCCGATCCTACCCAGGCCAGCACGCTGCGCAGGCTTAGCGTTGGTGTCCTGCACCGCGGGCTTTGTCCCAAGGCTATGGGAGGTGGGGAGACTGCTCTGTGGGCTCAGCTGTCCTCTCTTCCAGCAGGTCTCAGGGCGGGGTCGCACAGGCTCTGGGACGGCTTCCATCTCCTCCCCGCATGACGCCCTGAGGGGTTGGTGACAGGTGCAGCTCTTCTCCAGGACAATGCCCAGGAGCATCAGGTGAGCTCAGCCTGTAAAGCACCTGCAGGCTCACGCCAGTCATGTGTCACAGCTGACCCTCTGGTGTCCTAAACAGAGGCATCATAGGGCGGGTGATGGGGTGTGGACTGAACCCCAATATGCACACTGCAGCCCCATAGGCAGGAGGGTTGAGGATCCTTTGCTGAGCGGGTGTGATGACCCGGCAGAAAACACTGCCAGGAGGAGCCGCTAGGTGGCCCCCGCTCACCTGTCCAGGCTCCCTCTGCAGGCCTGGGAGCAGGCGGTCTGGAGCAAGCTGGGTGGGCACCTGCCCAGGCACACAGGCTGCTGTGGCCCCGCACTGGGAACTCCTTCCTCCCCAGCATCCAGGCACCCCTGCCTTCACGGGAGGCCTATGACCCTTCTCGGGTGCGTTCCCTGGCCACCCAGCACACCCCCCCAGGACTTCCTCTGCTGGCCCTCAGCACCCTCACTCAGACTGCAGAGACTCATCTGGGGTTGACATGCTCTACCTAACTCCAACTGTGGAACGGCAGACATGCAGCCCCTACCCCAAGCTTGCTTCATACCAGACCCCCTGCAGGGGCTGCACACCTCCCAGCTTCCTCCTCAATGAGGAAACCCAGCTCAGGAGAGAACATGGAATCTACGGGGGGTGGGGGTGGGGTGGGGTGGTGGTGGTGGTGGTGTCTAGGCCTTCCTGCCAGGTGCCTTAACATACCGAGGCCTTCCTGGAGGGTGCTGTGAACCCCTTGGAGTATGTGGAGAAACTCAGGCCACACAGCCAGGACCCTGTTTCTCCACCACATCCTTCTGCCCAGGCCTGAGGGTCCTCCAGGTCACCCACCCACTCTCTAATTAATAGTAAAAAAGGAGGACACACAGAAAGAGCCAGAGTTTAGAACGGAACCCAAGTCTGACTCAGCCAGTGCTGGGAGATCCTCTCCAACAACCTGGCCAGAGCCTGGGCAGCTGAGGTGGGCTGCAGGTGAGGCCAGCAGGGACTAGGGAGGAAAAGAAGGTTGTAGACCCACAGGAACTGGGAACCCAGCTTCTGGCTAGTGACTGACAGTCTCCTCACACGGCCTGGGGCCACCACCAGTCCGTTGTAGTTCTCAGAGACCAGGAGCACTCCTGCCCCGAGCCCCCACCCCCAGGTGGCCTGCCGCGACCACGGAGAGGGACAAGGAGAGGGACAAAGACGGGGAGACAGACTGGCAGCCGGTGGGAGAGAGACGAAGACGGTGCCAGGGAACAGCGTGGCGGGCCAAGGCGCCCCGGGAGCCGGAAAACAGCTTCGGGAGAAGCGGGGGACGGGAACGGGGGCGTCTATCTGGAGCTGGGGGAGCCGGAGACAGGCGACCGCAGACAGGCGCGGGGGAGGGGCAGCCGGCGGGGGCGCGGCGTGGGGCGTGTGGGAGCCACCCGGTCAGAAGCCACAATAGCAGCTCGTTAACGGTGCAGATTAAGGACTTTGTCAATTACCTCTGAAGGCTGCTCGGGCGGATTAAATGCTTTTAAAAGTGCTGCCGGTGGGAAGGGGCGCCTAAGAAGCCCCCCTCCCGGCTCAAATCCCTCCTCTCCGGGCAGAGGGGGAGGCGGGGGACTGGGACTGCGCGGGACGCGTCGGGAGCGCGGAAGGGTCGCGGAGCAGCTCGTACGCGCGCCCGCGGCGCCCGCAGCTGTCCTAGCGGCAGGGACCCAGGTTCGGCCCGGGAGCCTCCTGGGCAGAGAAGCGTCGATCCGCTGTGGGCCCGCGAGCTCCAGGGCACGGGTCTGGGAACGCAGGCCGAGGCGTTCCCAAAACCCGGCTGGAGCGTCGGGGCTGGAACGGGGCGGGGCAGGCGGCCGGAGACTCCCCGGCTGGGCACACTTGCCCCAGGACCCCGACCAAGACCTCGGGCCCACAGGGGGCGCACTCTTGCCTGTCCCCACCCCTGACTCCTAGGGTTTAGGAGTGGGCCCCGCGCCCGGAGCCCAGCGGAGCGCGGCACCGCTCCCGGGAGACGCTCGACGGCGCCGCGGGGGCGTCCACGAGGCCCGCTTGGCGCCGCGCCCCGCGCAGGGTGAGTTGGTGCGAGTCCCGCCGAGAGGAAGTTTGTGCAGAGGTGCCGTCAGCCCGCAGCCCGTGCCCGTTTGCCGGGGGTCTGGGGACCAGTTCTGCCGCCTTTATCCGGGCCGTTTGGGAGGTGGAGTTGACTCTCCAAGTCCGCGGTGCCTGTGCGCGTGCTGGTGTGTGTACGTGCGTGCGTGCGTGTGTGTCGGGGGGAGGCCGAGGGGAGCAATAAAAGGCAGGAGAGTCCGAGACAAAAAAGACACGGAGATTGAGAAGGGGGCGGGAGAAGGAGCTGGGAGAGGAGCGCGCAGGGAAGCGCGGGAGCGGGGAGCGGGGACGGCGCGCAGCGAGAGCGGCAGGCGGGCTGGTAGCGGGCGGCTCTCGCGCTCCCGCACACACCCGCGCGCACACCGGGACACACACACACCTGCACACAGCCGCCCGCTGCCGGGTCGCCCCGGTGCCGGGTACCGAGGAGGGGACCCGGCGGACAGAGCGCGCTCCGCGCCCGAGCCTGCACCCACCTCGCCGCCTTTGCGCTCCGCAGCGGCGCGCCTCGGCAGGCGCCCCCGCCAGTCCTGCCGGAAGATGGTCAACGACCGGTGGAAGACCATGGGCGGTGCTTCCCAACTTGAGGAACGGCCCCGCGACAAGCCGCAGGTACACACCGGCGCGGGGACAGGGGCCAGCGGCTGGTGAGGCGCTGTCCGCTTGGGCTGCGAGGCGGGCACCTACTGCGGGGGCTGGAGTTTGGGGAGCTCCTGCCAGGAGGCCCGGGGCGGGCACCCTTCTATCCTCCGCATAGGATACTGGACTCGGGGCTCAGATGGGGGCGGCGCCCCCGGAGGAGCTTCTCAGGCTGTGGCCAGGTGCACCCCGCTCCAGTCCCCAGCAGAGATTCTGGGTACTCGTGTGCAGACTGAGTAGAGGACCTATAGTTAGCTATGATCAGCCCTTTAGTTTGCTCTTGACCGACAAATGACTTCCCTTGCTGAATCGATTTCCTCACCTCTATCTTGGGCATCTTCAGCACTTACAAAGTCCCCACTCTGGATGCCACCCTGTGCCAGGCACCTGGTACATCAACCTGAGCTTCAGAACCAGAAGTGGCTTCCCTGGATCTCCCCTTAATCTTTCCCGTATGTCAGGACCCTGCATACAGCAGGGAATCAATACACGTTCATCTCCTGTTAAGAAGGCTGGACATTGTGATTCTCTGACTTTAAGGCGAGCAAAGCAAGGCTCAGAGAGGCCCATCTCCAGCCTGAGGCTACACAGCTCTGCAGGGATCTGAACCCCGGTCTGTGTGCTTCAGGGCTGGTTGGGCCCTCCCTTCCTGCTCCTCTGCCCTGCTGGAGACTTGGAGGGTGCCCACCTCTGTCCCCGGGGGTGGGAAGAGGTGAGAGTAGAGCAGGGCTGGCCATCATCGAGGGGTGCCATCCAGAGCTGAGGCGGAGGGGCTGCCCCAGGGCTGCCCCAGGCCGGGCTACCAAGGGACAGGGCAGGCAGGCTGGAGGAGCGGTTGCTCACCATGGGGAGGAGATAATGGGGCTGTTCGTTTTAAATTTTAAATTTCTTCCAGACAGCTGTCACTGGGGAAGGAACAGTGAGTTTGCAGCCACTGGAGGGGGCGGCAGGGGCAGGCCTTGGCGGCCCCTGCTCTCTGGAGCTGCAGGTTGCTCCTTCTTCTGAAGTGACAGTGGTGTGGCAGGGGGACCCAGCCTCCAGCAGTTGGCACACCTTTTCCCTTCCTCTGCACTGCCTCACTTCCCAAAGCCGTCTGGGGGCCGGTCAGCGGTGTGCATCCCACATCTCAGACTGGGGTCAGGGTGGTCACCAGTCACACAGCCTGTAAGCAGGAGAGCAAAGATCCAGACCCAGGCTGAGCCCCAACCTTCTCCCAAGCTTCTCCCACCGCCTTCTCAGGGGACAGGAGGGTCTACCTGACTGCCTAAGCTTGGTCTCCCCCAAGCCATCCAGGTACCAAGCCCCTCCTGCTGAGTCTGGACTCAGCCTTAATTTCTAAACTTGTCCTTGAGGGCCGTCCCCAGCCTGGCCCCGTCTCTCTTCCTCTGAGTCCCCTGCAGGTACGGACTGCTTGTCATTTGCCGACTCTGGGTCTCCCTCGACTTCCAGATCTTTGATCTCTCTTCTTGTTGGCTCTACCAGGCTCCCCAACACACACACACACACACACACACACACACACACACGCCTCTTCATTCAGGGACACCTTACCTAGTCCTCAAACCCAGCGCAAATGAAGCCACCTCCTCTGGGAAGCCTTCCCAGATGCCTAGTGGCCGTGTCTCTCAGTCCCAGTAGGGTTCTTAGCCTGTGCCTCCACTCTGCCCCATCCCCCAGCACTGGGTCCCCCCTCCAGGGCAGTTCCCTTTGGACAGACACCTTCTGGGTCCTCACTTGTGGTCCCCCTGCAGGCCCAGGCCCCCTTCCTTCCAGGCCGTTCAGGTTGGGAGCCGAAAGCTGTTTGCTGAGTGAGCTGCTCAGAGCTTCAGCCAGGAGGGGCCTTGGGTGACGAGCCAGGGAGCCTGCGCTAGGGGAGGTGGCTTCTAGGGATCCGTTTGAGATGTGGCTTCAAGGTGTCCTGGGCCAGGCTCAGCCTCCCAGGCCTGCTGCTCCCCAGAGGCTCAGCTGCCAGCTGCACGTGCCCCTGAGCACGACTGGGGTCCAGGAGCCTGAGCCAATACCAGAGACCCCTCTCCTCACATGGTGAGCCAGCAGGTGGCCGGCTGTCCCCTGGGCCAGCTCTATGCTTATTTGAAGCTTCAGACGGAGCCCAGGCCTTTCTTGTGCCCACTGTCAAGGCAGAGAGAGCCTCAGGGCCCTGGTTCCCTCGGGGCCTGCCTCCCCTGGGCAGCCTCCCCTCCCTTGCTTCCACTTTCACCTTAGCCATTGATTGACAGGCTGTGTGACTCTGGGTAAGTTATGCCTCCTCTCTGGGCCTGGGCCGTACCGTCTGTAAAATGGGAGCAGCAAAATCTGCGTCCTCCTCCCTTTAGGACTGAGTGAAATATGGGGTGTTTTGCAAACTGTAAAGCACTGTGCACCCATGAAGAGGTTGGTTCTCAAAGCACCTGGATCCCTTTCCCAGGCTGTCAGGACCCTAATCTCTTCTCTGCACCCCAGCTCCCACCACAAGGGCCTCTGTCACAGGGCCCTTCTTCTAGAATATTCCAGTGCCCACCCCGGGGTACCAGTTGGGCTCAGCCCTACATCTCTCACTTCTTAGTCACAACCACCCTGGAAGTTGGGTGGCGGAGGTGCCCATCACCCAGGACAGACAAGGACATGAGGCGCTGGAGCCGGGAGCTGAGCCCGGGCACTCGGGCAGCAGAGGGCGGCCTCTGGGAAGAGCAAGGAGGGAGGTTCAGCCAGAGTGACGGCATCCTTCCCCGGGGCAGGGCTCCGCTCGGGTGTGTGGCTCTCAGGGCACGTCCACACCCTGGGTCCCGGGACCACCTCGGGCCACTCCGTCTGTCTGGCCTCTTTTTCTCATTTTCTGGGTGACCTAGGACACGTTGCTGACCTCAACGTCAGGACTGTCCTGTCACCCGGCAGAAGGAGGGGCCCCCAGGCTCCGGAGCAGAAGGGTGCGGCAAAGTCTGCAGGAGTTGGAGTTACTTGGATGAAAGGATCTAGAACTAGACATGGTCCTTCCAGCCTGGAGGGAGGAAGTTACCAGAAACTGTCTCCTCCCTAGGGAGGTGAGGGCTGGTTTCCACAGTCCCTAAGCCTCCCCGCAATGAGGTTGACCTCCAGCCCATCCCAGACAGTGTCTCTTGATGTTTTCAAAACTTCAAAAAACATCCCAGAAAGAAAGAAACAAATTCTCATGGGGAAGTTTTTCCTGATGTCTAACCTTAACTCCTGCTGTATTTAATCCACTTGGTGGCTATTTATGGAGAACATACTTGGTGCAAGGAGGCTGTGCCTCAGGAGGCTTAGAGTCCCAGAAGCAAACCCAGAAGCCAGACTTTATCATACCACAGACGGTGGGACTCAGCATGACCACTGGGCCTCATCCCTCATGTTTCCTGGGGCTTGGGATGGGGCCATGTTTGGGGTGAGGGAGAGGGAGAGGGGAGAGGAGACTCCTGGGGCTCCCCTGTCCTGCTGCTCCGGAGCTCACTGTGCAGCCCTGTGTGGCCGGTGGGCGGCCCCGGGCAGGCAGAGGCCGCAGTGGAGAAGCTTGGTGGAGAGGGCTCAGGTGCAGGGGAGGGTCACCAGGAGTACCAAGCAGGTACCTCGAGGCTGACACTAGCCGAGCCTCCGGTGCCCTGGGGTGGTCTCAGTGCCCTGGACGGCTTTGCCTTGAGGGGGTCCTTGTGTTGGAGTTGGGGGAGGGGGAGCCGGCAGGGAGATGGTCACTGTGGTCTCTGTGGTGGGGCCTGGGCCAGGGCAGGACCTGGGGGTGGGGCAGTGGGCGAGGGGGCAGCAGAGGCAGGGGACAGAGCTGGGTGACTGACTGGATGTGGGTGAGGGGGCCCAGGGAGGTGCTAGCTTTGGAGGACAGCTGGTGGGTTGGTGCCATCCTCCTGCTGGGGTGGACAGACCCTGGTGTGGGCTTCAGTGGGCGTGAGGCCCAGGCAGGCCACCTGGGAGGCCAGGAGCTGTGTGTTTGGGGAGAGTGGACAGGCCATTATAGGAAACCTCTGGGGGCAGACCCCAGCAGACCAGAGCCGAGCGCCCCCTGGGGAGCCAGAGAGCCTGGGGGCTTCGCGCCTCCAGGAGGGGCGACGTCTGCAGCTGCTTCCTTCTGGACACCGTAAGCCCCTCTTCCTGGGACCCTCCCAGTGCCATGGCTCCAGATGCCCCTCAGAATGGTCTCCATTGAAGAGGCTCTGGCAGGACAGGGGCACCTGCTCAGGTCACACAGGAGGCCAATCTCTTCCTACATTTGGGGGACTCCAGAATTGGAACAGAAACACCCGCCCTTTCCCAAGGGCTTCTGCCAGGGCCTGGGGCTCATAATTCAGATGGAGGAAGAACACCCAGGCTCTGGGCTGGGGCAGGGGCTGTGCGGCTCCCTCAGGGCTCCAGAGCACCCCGGCCCCTGGTTCTTCCAGTCCACGGCCCCTGGATGTCCTCCTGGGAATGAACAGCTTCCTGCCTGGCTGGGGCTCCGGGGAGAGGCAGTGGGGCGCAGAGGCTCACGTAGGCTCTGACCTCGCCTGCCCCCTGGAGGGGGACCTTCTTCTGTGACTTCATCCAAGGAGATAGGCTCGGGCCACTCAGGGGACTGTGTCACCCACCTTCCTCAGAATCAAGGCAGAAGGGCAGCGTGAGGGCGGAGCTCCTCCCCCTCAGCCCTCTTATCCTTCCCCAGAGCTCCACTGGGGACTGGTGACACGGAGCAGGTAGCCTGAGCAGGTGGCACCTAACTGGGGCACCTCCTGCCTCTCTCCCAGCCCAAGTCCATCTTGTCCTCGGTGGGCTAAGGTTTTCCAAGCAGCCATGGACCCTGGGCTGGCACTGGGGGTCACTCAAGGAACAAAGCTGTGTCCCCCCCAGTTGGTAGCTCACATGGGCAGTTAGTGGCTGAAGTGGACCTTGAGCCTGGGTCTCCCTTCCTGGGCTCCGGGAGGCTGGCCTCAAGGCTGCCACCTGGGATGCCTCGTTCAGGGGAAGTGGGGCCCATGTGCGCCTCCCCCTCGTGCCATCCTCTGGGGTCCCTGGCTCTGTGGTGGCCAAGGGCTGATCAGTGAGCCGCAGCCCAAGGCCCCCTCGCCGGCTCCTCGCTGTCTCAGGCAGATTTCTTTGCGAGGCACGTAAACTACAGCCTATAAAAGCGAACAGCACTTCATCTTTAAGGTTGATCTCTGAAGACTAATTCTCCTCTGCCAAGTGCCCTGCTTCGTCTCCTGGCTGCGATGTCCCTGCCCTCCTTGGTGGCCTCTGTCTTCCCAGGGAGAGCTGGGGGTGGGGAGGAGGGTGCCCGGTCGGTCGGGCTGGTGTCCTGGACGCCCCGTGGGGGGGTGGCTGGCTGCTCTGCAGAGCACCCCCACCACGCCAGCCAGGGACCTGGACGCTGCACAGTCCAAGGACGCAGCTCAGAGATGCTCGGGGCAAGGTGTCTCCCGGCGGACGCTGGAACACGCAAGGCTGGGACTTACTTGCTGACGCGGGGCTTTGTCTCCGGAGCCCCAGCCGGAGCTCCTTAAGAGGAGGAAAGACACGGGAGGATGCTGGGGAGCGGTCCTGGCGCACCTGCCCACCGCGAGCCGCCCAGACTGCAGAGGCTGCCTCTACTGCTTGTCCCCACGTGGCTTTGGGCTTGGGTCCTTGCTCTCTGAGCCTCAGTTTCCCGTAGGCAAGGTGAGCTGGACCCTGCTGTTCACTGCAGGAGGTTGCTTGGAGCTGGGGTGGGGGAGCACGCGGGTGCCCATGGAGTGACCGATCGTGCCAAGCCTGTCTCTCTGTGAGCCGCTGGGGCCTGGGCCGGCCCAGATGTCACCTTCATTCTGTGCCGCATCATCAGAGGTGGGCACAGGGTCAGAGTGGCCCTGCCTCAGGATCCGGGGCTCAGTGGGGAGGCATGAGCCTCTGCCCACCATGCACGGCAGGTCCCAGCAGACCCTCGCCTCCTCCCCAGTCCAGCATCGTCCTGCAGACACGGCCTAGGCCATCTGCTCTTCCTTCCTTCTGTCCATCCATCCGTCTGTCCGTCCATCAATATCCAGCAGTCAAGACAGTCTGTGCCCGGCAGTGAGCAGGTCCTCGCCTGTGCTGGGACTCACCGTCCAGGGCATCCGCCAGCCCTGAGTCCCCAGAAACGTCGTCCACGGGTTCCATCACCTGCCCACGTGGCTCAGCGCCCCAGGGAGGTTATGAATCACAGTCCCTGGGACACGAGCTCCCCACCCGGGGTCTGACCTCCCCACCCTCGCGTCCTCAGGGAGCCTGGCTCCTAGGGAGACCCAGAGAATGTTGCATGGGGGATCTAATGACCTTCTGTCTCAACCAGCACCATCATGGGGAACGGGGAGAAGCCCCCAAGCTCAGGGAAGGAGGGAAATCCAGGAAGGCTTCCTGGAGGAGATGACCCCGCTGGTGCCTGAGGAGGAAAGCCAGTTGGGCCACCAGGAAAGGGAGTAAGGCGAGCAGCTGTGCCCGGCCCAGGAGCAGCCCGTGCGGAGCCGGGGGAGCTGGGGTGGAGTCTGGCTGGAAAAGATTGTCCGGGTGTGGGGGACCAGGCATCATGACCAGAGAGTCCAAGGACCTCTGTCCCTCATCTTGACAAAAAAACAGACCCTTCCTCAGGGTCCCCTGGTCTGCCTGCCCCTCCCCGACCTGTCCTCTTCTTATTAGCATGTGAATTTACAGAAAGGCAGCTGGTGCCTCCCGAAGCTTTCTCAGTAGTAAGACCTGATGGATTGTCTCCCCAAGGCAGCCAGAGCGCTGTCAGTTACAGTGCAAGACGCCCCTGCAACGTCAGAGATGCTGCAACGTTGAGAGAGAGAGAGAGAGAAGGGGGGGTGCCCCTCAGGCATCCAGAGCCACAGAAATAAAACCACCTCCAGACACTGGTGCACGTTGATCGCGGGATAATAAAAGCTGCTAATATTTATCGCAGAAACACAGGGGCCAGGCACAGCTCCAAGTGCTTTTGTATACTAACTCATTTAAAGAAGCATCTCAGATTCAGCAAGTTGGAAATGTGTGTCATGACGTTGAGGAGACTCAGTGGTAGGGGGTCCCTGGCCCTGGGGGAAAGCAGGAGGCTTGGGATCCAACTGAAGCTTTGTTCCTAATTTGCTGTGTGACTCTGGGAAAGCCCCTTGCCCTCTCGGGGCCTCTTTTCCTTTGTGTAAAATGTCCAGTAGCTGCCAGCGGTTCACCCCGTGAATCTGCCCCATAAGCACTTGCTGCTGTGAGCCACGCCCGCCCTTAACTGCAAGCTGCACTTTGGCTGGGGCTGCTTTGGTCATTAGGCCCCGCCCAGAGGGCCCTGTCCTCTGACCTGTCCCCTGCCTTCCCTACCTCCATTCATCCCGTTCTGGGAGTCACAGCCTCAGTCATTAAGGCAGGGACCTTCCCCAGTGGCCTTCGGGCTATTTGGCATTTGTCCTGCCAGGGCCCTGCCCTGTGAAGAGGGCCAGCCGAGGGGAGAGGAGAGGAGATGTTAGGCAGCCACTCTGTGCCCAGCAGGTAGAGACCAGCCACCGTAGAACAGACAAGGGATCCGCGGGACCTTTGGTGACTGGCATCCACTACCCCAGGGCAGTGACAGCATGTCCATTTTAGCATGACCCACGTCACCATTCAGGCTCTCTCCCTGGGTCAGCAGAGCAGGTGCCCACATACAGAGAGACGCGAGCCACTATTGCTGCATTTTTACAGGTGAGGAAACTGAGGCTCAGAGAGGTGAGGTCCCTCTGCAGAGGTCACACAGGAACCTGAGCCCAGGCCTGCGGGCGGCAGAATGGTGATGTGCCTCAGCCCCCACTGGACCCGCGGGGCTCTGTGGGATCCAGGTGGCTGCACGTGAAGGGGACCAGGGGCCGCTGTGCTGCACTGTGGCAGGTGGCAGGTGGGGCAGGGGGTCAGAGGGAAGGCAGAGTGCACTTCTCCCTGTCCTGGCTGCCTCTGGGCCCTAGCTCCCTCCACCTTTCTAGTTCTCTTGCTGCCCGCGCCCCCAGCACCCCCGAGTCCTCACTGGGCAGAGCCGGAGGCCGGGGTCTGCCCCTGACGCTTGCCCCCCTCTCTCCTGTCCGTCTGTCTGTCTGTCCATGCATCCTGGGCTGGCCTGCAGCGGCCGAGCTGTGGCTACGTGCTGTGCACCGTGCTGCTGTCCCTGGCCGTGCTGCTGGCTGTGGCCATCACCAGCGCAGTGCTCTTCCTGAACCACGTGCACGCCCCGGGCACGGCGCCCCCACCCATCGTCAGCACGGGACCGGCCGGGGCCAACAGTGCCCTGGTCACCGTGGAGAGGGCCGACAGCTCCCGCCTCAGCATCCTCATCGACCCACGTTGCCCTGACCTTGCGGACGGCTTTGCCCGGCTGGAGGGTGCCCAGGCCTCGGTGCTGCGGGCGCTGACTGAGCACCAGGCCCGGCCACAGCTGGCGGACACCCAGGAGCAGGAGCTGCTGGACACCCTGGCCGACCAGCTGCCCCGACTGCTGGCCAGGGCCTCGGAGCTGCAGGCCGAGTGCACGGGGCTGCGCAAGGGGCACGGCCTGCTGGGCCAGGGGCTCAGCTCCCTGCAGCAGGAGCAGGGCCGCCTCATCCAGGTAAGGGGTGGGGCTGTGCCTCGGGCCTCGCAGAGGTGGGGGCTGCTGACACCACGCGCTGCCCTTGGACTGGCGCCTGCAGCCCAGGCCTCACTTCAGCCCCGACCAGGGGCCGTGGCCGTTGCCGTCTGCGGAGAGCATGAGGCCAGAGGCAAAGTCTCGCCCACAGCCACCAGCTCCTGGCTACCAGGGTCCAGACCCTGTCTGTCCTGCACATTCTCCTGGTGACCCTGGGACAGCCAAGGGTCACGCTTGGGGCCCTCCAAGAGGCAGGGTGATGCTGGCAAGGCTAGGCACCATCCTGTCATAGCAAAGTGAGGCTCAGAGGGGTGCGACGTGCTCAAGGCTGTGTGGTTGGATAGTGCCCGAGGTGGGGTCAGAGAGCCGCACCCTGTCCCCAGAGTCCCCCCATACACCGCCCACAGCCTTCCAGGGATGCAGACCCTCAGTCTGTCCCCACCCCGCCCTTCCCTGCCCCTGAGTCAGGTTCCTGCAGGCACCAGCGGGGCTGGATGAAGGATTGCTGGCATCCCTGTGGTGACAGCCCCAAGGCACTGGCCAGAAGGTGCCCCTTTATGGGGTCAGGGACTTCGGACTGTCTAGCTGCCTCTACCACTTTCCACAACAAAAACTGAGGCCCAGAGAGGGGCGGGGGGAGTGGTGGTGGTGTCCTGGTATTGTGCCTGGAATTCAGCCACCAGCTACCTGCTCAGACTCCAGCCCTGAGCCCTGTCACCCCTGTGACTCCCCAGGGGCTGGAACCCAGCCCAGGCCGCCAGCAGCGCCCTAGCCTTTTCCATCCACCCCCCTTCCGGACACCAGGGATGACCAAGCACTTGGTCACTCCGTAGCTCATGAGCAATGGGCTCTTCCCTCCCTCTGAAGGCTGCAGCTGGAGAAATTACAGTCCTCATCGTCCTGTCGGGGTGACAGATGGGGCGGGCTGGGGGAAGCTTAGCTGGCCTTCCCACCGCCCCTCCCCCCAGAGCGTCCCTGCAGGCGGGAGAGCTCCAGGCTCACCTTCCCCAGGCTCAGCCTGGTCAGCAGGGGCCTGGCCCACCAACAACGCTCACCCTTTGAGCTGGGAGGGCCCCCCCTCCATTGCATGGACAGCTTTCCTGGGACCCTTTCCTGCCGCAGCCCCCAGACGTGGTTGTCCCTCAACACTGTTGAGCTTCCCAGTCTCCAGATTCCAGAGACCTGCCTCTTTGTCTCACCCAGAGGCAGCGGCCATGGCTCTGAAGAAGCCCTCCTCTCCCTGTGCCAGACGCCCAGGTGCACAGCCCTGAGTTCTCAAAGCCCGGCCTCCGCGGGCGTTGGCAGAGGCCAGTTGGGCAGGTTCTAGACCCCAGCCCTACCCCCCAGAACCTAGCACAGGAGCAAGCGTCAGGTGTTCTCAGGCAGGGTCCCCCCAGGCCCTCTGGCTGGGCTGAGCTTCTGCCCTGAGGGTCTGAGGTGGCAGAGCTGGGGTCCGGCCTGGCCAGCTGGGGTCCTCGGGCAGGTCACATCTCTCCAGGCTGGTTTTTCTCACCTGTAAAATGGGGTAACACGTCCATGCCGAGGGACGACGTGAGAGCCCTCGGGGAGGCTCAGCCGTGCCAGGCCCTGTGTTAAGGGTGACCTTCAGCCCAGTACCCCACGGAGGTGGAGGGGCAGACGCAAAGGGCTTCGGGAGCTTGGTCGCCCGCAAGACGCTGGGAGCAGCCACTGGGATTCTGGCCTCTGAAGCAGCCGCCTCCTCCCGGTGCCTGTGCAGTGGGCGAGCAGGGACTGACTTGCCCATTAATTCGGGGCATGTTTATGTGAACATTTTCAACTTTAATCATTTGCTGGTTGAACCGAGGTCTTCCCTGCCCGTTAGCAAGAGGGAGGGCCGCGCCTGAGTTCCTGAGCTGAGGCTGCTCCGCCTCTTGGAAGGACGAGCCACAGCACGGTGGCTCCACTGCCCAAGCCCCCGGGCTGCCCGCGTCCCTCCAAGGGGCCCTCCCAATGGCCAGTGACCCCGCTGCGCTGCTCCCCCAGGCCCAGCCCTCACCGAATCCCCTGCTTGGCGGAGGGGAAGGTGACAGGGGAACTGACAGCTTCGCGGGCTGCCTCCCGCGAGCGGGCATCATATTTTGTAAACTGCCGGCTGGTGCGTTTCTATTTTCCTTCCTCCGATGGGCTATTATCTGGCGAGTGACAGGTTCGGTGTGTGAGACCGGCCTGCTGCACGCTGCCAGCTGCCTATAATCTGCCCATGTCCCTCCCTCCCTCCCCCTCCACGTGGTCCCACAGCCTCCTGGAAACCAGGCTGTGGAAGCAGGAGACCCCAGACCCTTCAGGCCACCGGCACCCCAGAACCCCCCAGGGAGCCACAGGGTCCTGCTGAGCTCCTGCCCTGGGCAGCAAGGGGCAGGAGTCAGAAAAAGGACACTGGTGTAGTGCTTGGGAACCCCCACCCAGAAAGACTGTGTCCTCATCCCCCTGTGCAGGCCAGAGAGGTCTCACTCTGCCAGGGGCCTGGCTCCCCCAGACCTTGGGTTTGTTGTACAGTGACACAGTCCTGGGGAAGTGACCCGAGGCCTGGTCCTCATGCCTGCTCCCTCACAGGGACTGCTCCTCATTCTGGGCCTCAGTTTCCCCATTTGTAACAAGGAGTTGACGACCTCAAGTCCCAGCCCTCTGCAGCACTGTGTGAGGCCCAGAGAGGTCCGCGACATCAGCCGGCCGCGGAACCTCAAAGCAGCAGTCCCATAGGGGATGGGGCTTTGGAGAGGGTGTCCTTGGTCCTGGACCCAGCCCCTAGCCTGTGTCCAGGCTCCCGTCACCTCGCCAAGCCTCAGTATCCCTCTGTCAAGGGCAGATCTGTCACCCCTGCCTGGCAACCTTGCTTGGGGGCCAGAAGAGGTGGCAGGTGGGTGTCCTCCAGCCTGGGGGTGCCATGGAGCTCTGGGAGCACGCCCTGGGCCCACTTGCTGTTTGCAGTGGCCACCAGGGCAGTTTGGCCAGGGAGGTGATGTTGGCCCCGTTTTCCATAGAAGGACCCCTACAGGGCACTTGCCGTAGCTGTGGAACTGGTCAGTGGGTGGTCAGGCTGACCCCAGCCTGGCCCTGCCATGAGCTGCCTCCACCCGCACCCGGCCACCTGTACAGAAATGGCTGAAGGGCAGTCAGGCGGCAGGAACCTGCTGGGACACACTGCCTCCTCCCACCTGGGCCCCTGCCCTCGGGGACCCCAGGTCTCAGACCTGCAGCAGCCAGCAGAGCTCGGCTGACCCTCAGACACCCTGCACAGGGAGCCGGGTCAGAGCAGGCCGGGGCTCACTGGGCCAGGAGCCCACTTCTGCCTTAGGGGAGGGCCCTTCTGGCAGGTTTCTGGCGCGCTGTGTGCCCGTGACCCTGCGGGGTCCCTGCGCCCTCCAGTGAGCCCCCGTGCTCTGCAGCTTCTCTCCGAGAGCCAAGGCCACCTGGCTCACCTGGTGAACTCTGTCAGCGACGTCCTGGATGCCCTGCAGAGGGACCGAGGGCTGAGCCGGCCCCGAGTCAAGGCCGACCTCCAGAGGGCTCCTTCCAGGGGCGCCCGGCCCCGGGGCTGCGCCAACGGTGAGTGGACGGGGGATGCCTCCCAGGTGACTCATGGGCCCTGCCCTGGCTAGCAGGGAGAGCCAGGGCCCCACCGTGCCCTGTCCTTGGCCACCCACCTCACGGCTCTGATAGACAAGGGAATACTCCGGCTGGGGACCCAGGATTTCCTGTGGCTGAGCAGCTGCGAGCACGTCACCCACACCCTCCCGTCGAGCTCTCTTAACCCATTTACCAGAGAAGAAAAGTGAGGTCCAGAGAGTGTCGGAACCAAGTTCTGGCTCTAAGGCCGGTGCTCCTGACTGCATGTGGCATCGTGGGGTGGACAGACAAGTCAGAGAGAGCAGGGACTGTTTGGGTAGGAAGGGGTGGTGGGGACATGGGCCTGGGCCATGGCCACCCTGATGGGCCTGGGCCATGGCCACCCTGATGGGCCTTCCCCATGGCAGGCTCTCGGCCCCGAGACTGCCTGGACGTCCTCCTCAGTGGACAACAGGACGATGGTGTTTACTCCGTCTTCCCCACCCACTACCCCGCGGGCTTCCAGGTCTACTGTGACATGCGCACCGACGGTGGCGGCTGGACGGTGAGTGTGCATGTGAATCTGGTGCTGTGAGCAGCTGCCTGGGACCCACCCTGCCCGGGCTGTCGGCCCAGCCTGACCCCCACCCCCACCTGGACCCGGAAAGGGGGCCCATGCCCCGAGGGAGCGGCAGCAGACAGGAGCAACCTCGTGCGCCCTGGTTCTGGAGGTGTGCTGGGTCCCGGGATGAAACATGGCTCCTGGAGCCGCTGGGTGGTGGACCTCGAGGGCCGCTGCGTGGGCGCTGGACTTCCTGAGCTATCCACCATGCGGTGTGTGCAGGGCAAAGGGGGGACGTGAGGCGGATGGCTTCCTGGCGAGGAGCCGTCGGATTCCTGCAGCTCCTGGTTCCTGCCTGGTTGGGTCATGGGAGCAATGGGATGTCCCAACCAAGGGACAGGGATGGGACAGTTACCAGTGCCTCTGAAGTTCCTCTGGGAGAAGGGGTGCAGGGGACAGAGGCTCAGGTTTGATGACCACAGGGCGCCTCCAGACCCGCCAGCCAGACGCTCCTTCAGGCAGGGCCTGGTGCTCTGTCTGCAGGGGGCCAAGGGAAACTGGCTCGTGGTCCTGCGGGACTGAGGTCACCAGGTCTCTGTCTTGGTGGCCACTGTACGGGAAAACAGGAGACCAAAGGGAAAGGCCTGGTGGGCTTCGCTCCAGTAACAAGACTTGTAGACCCTGAAATTTGAATTTCAAAAAATGCTCACATATTCCTCCCCAAATGTTATTCAGAGGACATTTTAAAATTCTTCTTTTGATTTTTTAAAAATCATTTAAAAAGTTCAAAATCCTTCTCGGCTCGCTTGCTGTCCAGGAGCGGGCAGCGGCAGGAGCCGTGCTGCAGGCCTGGTCGAGCTGGCCACTCTCGACCGTGGGAAGTGAGTTTCCGTCCCAACCCTGAACCCCAGCCCCTTCGCAGGCACCACTGGCCATTGCTTGATTTTGTGCAAATTTGAAAAATGCACGTCCCTTCCTTTATGAGGACACCCTGTCTCCTCCCACCTGAGCCCCTGGGCGCTAGGCTTGGTGAGTTTGCCCTGTTGGCCAGATGCCCTTGAGCAGTGAACAACTTGAACCACCCTCCCCACATGCCACCCTGAAAATGGCTCACCCTTCCCTCACACGCTGACTGTGACTGGGACATCACTCAGCCATGGAGAGCAGGCTCCTGAGGGCTTCTCAACGTCACATTTAATTGCAATTCAACAGACACTTTTGAGTACCTGCTCTATGCTGGTCCTGGGGAAGCACGGAGATGAGGAAGGCTTTGTCCTCCCAAGAAGGCTGGAGTCTCGGGGCTCAGGAAGAGTCCCGCAGCAAAGGCTGGGTGCCCTGAGCCAGCTTCTATAGGAGGGGCTTTTCTGATCGCCTTACGGGTGGGTGGGGCTGCTCAGTGTGGGAAGGAAGAGAAGGTGCCCCAGGAAGAGGGTGGCCTGACGGGCTGGAGCCAGGAAGCTCGGGGCCCACCCAGGGCACAGGGACTCAGCTGGCACCCGAGGCTGGAGAGGCGCGGCTACGGTGGTTGATGTCCTCGTCTGTGGGCTTGAGACAGACACTGGGGAGCTATTGAGGGTGGTGGAGAGAAGAAAGACGGGGTAAGAATTGTGCTTCAAGGCAGGGGTGCAGCTGGATGGTAGAGCATTTACCTACTATGCGCTAGGCCCTGGGCTCCACCCCAGCACTGCAAATAAAGAGAAAGGAATTGTGTTTCATGTGCCCAAACCTGGCTGTGGGCATCACTGCCGAGAGCGGGAAGAGAGAGGGGAAGAGGTGCTTCATACAGGCCTAGGTGGAGCCCCTTTGCCAGGGAGGCAGAGGTGCATGAAGGTCGCTTGCTCCATCCGTCATCCAAGGACAGACCTGGGCTTGGCTTTCAGTCCTACTGTGTGATCTTGGGCAAGTTACTTAAGTTCTCTGAGCTTCTGTTTCCTCCTGCATCACTTAGACCTTTGAAAGGCAAGCCCCAGGAAGGGACTGACCTAGGCAGAAAAGGAGCGTGCTGGAGGGGGTTGGCCTGGTGAGGACCCCATCCCCCAGGGCCGCCAGGGAGTGCTGGATGCGCAAGGCCGGGGGCATCCTCAGTCTTTCTCCGGAGGCCGCACAGCAGTGATTCCAAGCCTGCGAGGGCCCCGAGGGGCCTGTGCCTCAGGCGGGGATCGCCTGGCCCTGCCGAGCCTGGAAGGATGAGGAAGGACAGCCCAGAGGTCCAGATGAGCTTCCTGGAGCACCAGGTGTGCCCAGAGCACCTTGCACACGGCCTGGAAGCTGTTCGGTCCTCTCCGTGACCGTGAGCCTTGCCCAGGGCCAGGCACTGGCCACCTGCCCCTCACTCTCCACCAGGAGGGCATCTGCAGCAGTCCAGGGGACAGGGATGGGCACCTGATGCCGGGGGAGATGGATCTCAGCTGCTTCCAGGGAGCCCGGGTGGACGCTCTCCTGGTCTCCGACCTTGGACTTGGACACGGTCTCCGGGCAGAGCACCTCTGTCCCTCCCAAGGAGCTTGGCTCCGACTATTTTCGGCGTATTGATGTCCAGGTGACAAGTGTCCAGGGAAGAGTTTAACATCGCATGAAACAAGTGACCTGGAAGCAGAGCTCAGAGAGGCCTGTGGGCAGCGTCCGCGGGAGGGGAGGGGAGGCCGGTGCGGGTCAGCTTTGAAAGGGGTCAGCAGAGGTGCGGCGTGGGGAGCGGCCAGGAAAGAGTCTGCCATGAGGAGCCGCGTGAGAGCAGAGAATCCCCCCAGACCCCGCCGCCAGCCGCATCTCCACGCGTCTACAAGCAGAGAGCTCTGAAGGTATGGCCCCGTGTCTGGGTTAAAAGCTCTTCTGTCTTCGTAACTGTCAGATCTCGAGTTATGACGTTGGCTTCTGGGAACCCCTCTGCAGGCAGAACGGAGAGGGGCTGGGCCCAGAAATCAGAGTTAAGGGTTAGGACAAGCTTGACGGCGCCTGAGGTGCTGTGTGGCTTGCACTTGAGGAGGCTGATCAGCTCTGGGCCCGTGGTTCCTACGGCCTGGGATTCAGGGGCCTGAGAGGCGAGTGCCGGAGCAGCAGCGTCCTGCTCTGCCCTGTGGCGCACACCCAGCCTCCACACCTGGGTGGGGCGGTGGGAGCGAGGCTGGGACCCGCCGAGAGGTGTCTGCGTGGCCAGGAGACGTTGATGTCCATTTGAGTTTCTGTCAGGAGCGATCTGTCCCAGGCACATCGGGACATGTAGGACGGCCTCCCTGCCACAAGGAATCTCTTGGAAGCTCAATTGCTGTTTAGAGGGCTCAGGCCACTGCCTCTGCAGACCCTCGTCCCATCCGTCCTCATCAGGCCTCACGTCCTGGCTGCCTGGCCACCAGTGCCAGCACTGGACACTCCTCCCTGGAGGACAGACACCTGGAGCTGTGTGCCTGGGACCAGGCTGGACTTTCCAACCATAGCCTAGGAGCAGGCGGGGACGGAGCGTGGCCTGAGGGACACTACTGTCCACATGCCACTGCCCACCTGGCATTGACAATATGCCTGTTAGTCCCTGAGGCCGGCAGGACAGCCCCCCAGCAGGCCTGGCCACCTGAGGGCTAACTGGGGAGTGACAGTGGCGGTGACTGTCCCTCGGTGGGCCTCATTCATTCCTGTGTTTAAACACTGAGCACCAAGAACATGCCAGGCGCAGAGACCAGCAGGGAATAAGAAAGGGAGGAGCCCTGGCCTGGGGGGAGGTGGACAAGGCAGCTGACCTGTCGGAGCTGAGGGGAGCCCCAAACCCAGGCTGGAGAGCTGTGGCTGGGAACAAGGTGGGGCTCCGTGGGGAGAAGACGGGGTTTGTTCTGGGGCCAGACGGTTCCGTGTGGCTGGTGCATCTGCATAAGGGGGCTTGGGCCAGGGTCGGGTGGGAGGCGAGTAGGTAGGGCCAGGCGAGGTGCTGGGCACTTGGAGGGCTGGGCACCTCTCCTGAGGGTGGAGCCGGCCCCGGGGCCGCAGGATTCCACGGGAGGAGGGCCCGAGGGTGAGGCGCAGGGTGCTGGCAGGTGTGCCCAGCGGTGCCGGAGCCTGGGTACCCAGCCCCGAGCTCACTGCAGATAATGGGAGCTGCCTGGTGCCTGCAAGGCCATTGCCGGTTCCTTGGGGTCGGGGAGGACATAGAGCGGATGGGCAGATGCTTCAAGGTGGCCTTTGGGTTTACGTGGCTACAGGCTGTGGCTGGGCCTCTCTCCACAGGAGTCCCTTCAAGGCCCCTCCTGAGCGGGACACTCACCTGCAGGAGAAAAGGCGGAGGAAGGCAGGGGAGGGAGGAAGGGGGTCGGCTGCCTGTGGACCTGCAGGCTTCCTCCCGGCCCAGCCTGGGCCCGTCCTGGGCAGGTCTCTGAGCTCCTTCAGGCACTCAGGGGTAAGCTCCGTGGACACTGAGCGCACCCTCTAGTGGCCCCTGCACCCCTTAAGACTTGCAGATGAGGGGCAGCCAGTGCCTCTTGCAGCGCGACCGACCCCTCCAAGCCTCTTTCCTCACCTGCTGAATGGGCACCGTAGACAGCTGCTGCCCGAGCAGGGGCCTCGGAGTCAGGCTGCTCCTGGAGCTGCAGGGAGGGGACCTGAAGAGGGAGGAGGGTCCCTGCTGCCCTGCCTCTCTGGGCCGCACAGCCGGCCCCCACTCACTCTGCTGTCCGGGGCAGTGCTGGCACCCGGGCCTAATTGCCAAACCCTGTCTGCATGATCACCCACGTAGGTCCGGCTCAGCACCTCCTGCAGCAGAGGGTTGATTGGGCTCTGCACCCGCCCCTGGCTTGGATCCTCGCACAGCCCCCCACAGCCCCCCACGCCCCCCACCACACACACCAGGGACTGCGCGGCTCACGCCCCGACCTGCTCAGCAGCCAGGCGTTTCCATCATGGGTCACCAGTTCAGATGTGCCTCTAATTGGCTCTGCTGTGAGAGGAACCCCCTCCCCACAGCCGCATTCCTCCACCGGAGCTCCGCCGGCGGGAGGGGAATCCTGCTCGCCCCTGGAGGACTTCAAAGGCTCCTGGCAGCAGGATCGGGCTCAAGGAGAGATGAAAAGCTTCCAGGGGCTCCCCAGCTAGCACCAGGCTGCAGGCTGGCCCTGTGAGGGGAGGCTGGCTGCAGGGACCAGGCAGGATGGGACCTGCCTCTGGGGCAGCAGCTGTGGCATCCCCCTTGCCCCAGAGGACAGGATCTTGCTGTGAGGTCAGTGGGCTGCCATGTCCCCTGCCGCCCAGCCCATGTGCTGCTCTGGGGAGGCGTCCTTGGAGCTCACGTTACTAATGACCGAGGTGACAGTGCCAACACCCTCGTGCTCCCTGGCTGATCTGAGTGGAGGAAGCTTGCAGCCTCCACCCGGTGAAGTCTGGATTTTTCAAACTTCTAACGCAAATGGGATGGCGCACGTGAAGCGCCTAGCGCAGGCCCCGAGGCGGCTCGCGTTTGATAAATGGCAGCTCTGAGCCGTGTTTTGCCAGACACTGGCAGGCGCTGCTGCCAAGCCCGGGAAGGGTGGCCGGGTGCCAGGCCCGGGGGTGCCACTTCCAGTCCAAAACAAAGAGTGGGCCCCATTTCCTCCTGGGCACGCACCTGGCTCCACAGGGAGGCGGCCGCGTTGGCTAGACCTACTGTGTGCCGCCTGTTTGCAGGTCTGCTTTTTGCATTTTCTCCACAACCCTGCAGGGGAGGAAGGGCTTGCAGAGGGGGACTCAGGCTTGGGACGGTTCCAGGACTAGTCTAAAGCCATGTGGCCCCAGGAACGTGGGCAGAGCCTCAGGCCTGCTTTAACTCACACGGCCAAGTCCATTTTCCCTTAGGGATAGGAACCAGCGTCTCCCATTGCAGCCTCACTGTAGTCTGGAAAAATCCCAGACACTGCCTCCTAGGGACCCTTCTAGGCACAGAGACCACCCTGCCCAGTCTCAAGTGGCTTGGACCCACCTACCCCAGCCCCCCGCCGCAGTTCCTCAGGCTACCTGGCAAGGTCCGGCCAAGCTCCTCCTCCGTGGAAGTCCTCCCAGACCACACCTGCCCCGGCAGAGGGCTCCACGCCCACTCTGAGCCCCCAGCAAGCCCTGTGGTGACTATTGTCAGGAATGCTGGGTCCTGGCTCTCTGGCCCCGTCTGAATCCCAGCTGTACGGGGGAACCTAGGCAGGCACAGGGACCAGAGGAACGTGCAGGCCGGGCGAAGCTGAGCCCTGACTGTCCCTCATGCAGCAGCTGAGGGCCAGACTCGTCCTGTGAGCGGAGCGGGTGTGGGGCCCAGCAGGAGAGAAGCCAGACTTGGCCTGTCCACCAGAGTCTGGGTAGACCTCGGGCCCCTGGTGCCAGCCCAGTGTGCTTCCTGGACTGAGAGGTGGCTCAGAGGCCGAAGGCTCAGTGTCCACCCAACCAGGCGAGGGCACCCTTTCCCCTCTGTGCATTGTCATCCTCTGCTCTGGCCTCCTGAGCCCTGGGTCTCTAACCAGGAGCACAACACCTCCCCTCAGGGCTGCGGCGGGACAGGCCGTGGCCGTCCTCTGAGGCACTGGCCTGGTGCTAGGGTGGCCACGGAGCCCAGACCGTGTGTCTGGGGGGGAGCTCCCTGCACTGGCACCAGGGCAGATGTGCAGCGGGGTGCGGGGTCCGTGTGCTGAGGTGGCCCTGCTGCGGCTGGACCCACTGGGGCGGGGCCCGCCAGCGTGCGGCTGGGGAGGCTCAGGGGCATCTCTGCGTCCCTTGGCCTGGCTGACGAGCAGCGCGGCTGCTGCTTCCTTTGAAATGGCACAGCACCATCTGCAGGGCCATGTGGGCTGAGCGCTCCCTTGGCAGAGCCCCCCTGGCGGCACATCCAAGGCGTTGAGCGGCTGGCTTTTGAGAATCCGCACCAAGAAAACACTCTGTGTGTCTTCCCACTCGTGGCTCTGTCCCAGGAGGCTGAGCGGCAGCCGTGTTTCTGCATCAGTCACTTTCCAGCCGGAACCCAGAGAAGCCCAGGAGCCGGACCAGCGACTGCTTCAGCCTCCAGACTAACCAGCCTGACTCCCTTCCCTTCCTTGGCCCTCCCCCGTTGGCCCCCAGAATCCCGCACAGGCTCCCGCCTGAGCACGGGGAGGTGGACACCCCACTTCTGACCTGCTTCCCTGGGGTGTCTTCCTGTAGTTGGAGTCTCCCCTCCTGCAAAGTCCAGCTGGTGTCCAGAAGTCTGCAGCCACAGCGGCAGCGGGCCGTGGTCCGCAGAGGCAGACAAAGGTTCCCACACGCCCGGGCCCGGGGGCCATCTGACAACCTGGGGCTGCTTGTGGCCCTAGGGACTCCTCAGGCCACCTCGCACTGCAGTGGGCTCCAGGCCACTTGGTGTTGGAGCCAGTGAGTGAGGCCCGCCCGCGGCAGAGGCCGGCAGTCCCCGGCAGAGCTTCCAACGTGCAGGTTCTGACCCAGGGCAGCGTGAGAGCGACTTTGATGGGTGGCGACCAGACGGAGCGGCACAGAGCAGAACCCAAGAGCAGTCATCAGGTGCACGGGGTGAATGCCGGTTCAGGAAGCATCCGCCTCTGACAGAAGCGTGTGTGAGGGACAAGCTGCATCTCTCTGGGTCAAAAAGTCACTTCTCCAAAACCGTGTCATGGACGGACGTGTCTCGGCCCCTCAGGGAGGGTCTGCGTGCGTCATAGATGTGTCTCTAAGTTGGTGTCGAGCTGACCACTCTGACAGGAACGTGAGCCGTTCTCTCCAGCATCCTCCATGGGGTGGAGGCAGAAAGCGGGGGCTGTGCTGGCTCCAGCTGATGGCACCCGGGGGGGAGGGCCCAGGAGGTGGTGGCCCAGGAGGTGGGACCAGGAGGTGGTGACCCAGGAGATGGTGTGGCCCAGGAGGTGGTGGCCCAGGAGGTGGGACCAGGAGGTGGTGGGACCAGGAGGTGGGACCAGGAGGTGGTGACCCAGGAGGTGGTGTGGCCCAGGAGGTGGTGTGGCCCAGGAGGTGGTGTGGCCCAGGAGGTGGTGGGACCAGGAGGTGGTGAGACCAGGAGGTGGGACCAGGAGGTGGTGTGGCCCAGGAGGTGGTGTGGCCCAGGAGGTGGTGTGGCCCAGGAGGTGGTGTGGCCCAGGAGGTGGTGGCCCAGGAGGTGGGACCAGGAGGTGGTGGGACCAGGAGGTGGGACCAGGAGGTGGTGTGGCCCAGGAGGTGGTGTGGCCCAGGAGGTGGTGTGGCCCAGGAGGTGGTGGCCCAGGAGGTGGGACCAGGAGGTGGTGGGACCAGGAGGTGGGGCCAGGAGGTGGGGCCCAGGAGGTGGTGTGGCCCAGGAGGTGGTGGCCCAGGAGGTGGGACCAGGAGGTGGTGACCCAGGAGGTGGTGTGGCCCAGGAGGTGGTGGCCCAGGAGGTTGGACCAGGAGGTGGGACCAGGAGGTGGGGCCCAGGAGGTGGTGGGACCAGGAGGTGGGGCCCAGGAGGTGGTGGGACCAGGAGGTGGTGTGGCCCAGGAGGTGGGACCAGGAGGTGGGACCAGGAGGTGGGACCCAGGAGGTGGGACCCAGGAGGTGGTGGCCCAGGAGGTGGTGGGACCAGGAGGTGGTGTGGCCCAGGAGGTGGTGTGGCCCAGGAGGTGGGACCTAGGAGGTGGTGGCCCAGGAGGTGGGGCCCAGGAGGTGGTGGGGCCACACCCATGACCAGCACCCAGTTCAGAGGGCAGGGGGAAGGGGCTGAGGACAGCTCTTGGCACCAGAGGCTTGGGCCAGGCGGAGCCCCGGCCAGTGCTGCCAGGTGGGAGTGGACGTGATGGTGGACACCTGCTTCAGGCCTTGGCCTCAGGGGCGCAGGTTCAGCCTGTCTCTGGGCTGCGGCCATGAGGCGTGGGGGACATTGCCTGCTCTGCCATGCCTGGCCACAGAGACAGGAGTGTCCCAGCTTCTGTCTGCTGCGACGGGGCGTGGGGGGGGGACATGGAGCCCCAGGTGGGGCTGGGGTAGGGATCTGGTGAACAACATGGATCTGGGGAGAAGGACTCAGGAGAAGGGCCCTGCTGGACCCAGCGCCCGGCACTGCCCTGTCTCCACCCCTTCAGTGGGACTGGGGGAGCCCCGACCAGGAGCCCTGCCCTCTGCACGTCAGCTTGCCCAGCAGAGGAGCACAGGCAGGAGGAGCGCTGGCAGGCGGTGGTGATGGTACCTACTGTCTCACCCCCCTGCCGTGGGGGTGGGGGCTGAGGCTCAGGAGGGAGGGACGGAGGGGGCCCTGGGGCTCGGGACTCCTCCCCACAACTGCACCCCACTGGGCAGACCTGCTGTCTTCCTGCTCCAGGATCTGGGCCACTTCTGGCCTGGGTGGGAGGTCCCCGGACACAGACCCTGCCCCTTTGTTCTTCTGCCCCAGGCCCTGGGGGCAGGGTCCCGACCTCGTGCCCGACTCAGTCGTGTGGCTGGCACCAAACCTGCAGGGAGAGGGTTGATGGCCGTGCTCATGAGTGAAGGGCTCATGGCAGGCCCCGCAAGGAAGGCGGGTCAAAGGCCATATAGGGCTGGAGGCTGGAAGGATGCGGCCGGCCAGGGCAGGGGCAGCAGGAGGGAGGACAGGAGGGCCATGGCCAGGCCTGGTACTACCCAAGGCCCACCGTCCACCTGCTCACGCCAGACCTGAGCACAGCGGGTCATCTGGCGGGGGAGGGGCCTACTAGGATCTTCATTTTGAAGAGGAGGAATCGGAGGCTTGGGGCGGTGGAGTGGCTGGCCACAGCTGTCTGCAGAGCCAGGGCTCCAGACCCAGATCCTCAACCACCACGCTCCCGGCCTGGCACGTGCCGCCTTCTGTGCTGGGCGCACTGAGGGCCCAGTCACCTCTGGTGCCAGCAGGGCCTCCCGGGGGCGCCCAGCCCCACGGCCCCTTCGGCTCGCCCTCCGGCAGAAACAGGCTCAGCCCGCCGCCGCCTTCTCGGGGGAGCGCCTGAGCTTCTGCCAGGATTAGGCCTTTCAAAGGGCGCGTGCTCAGGGTCCCAATCTGTAGCCATCGATACGTCTCTCTGCCGCTCCTCAGATCTCTCTGAGCCTTATCGAATTTCCTTCCGCCCCAGCTGGTCCCTCCTGAGGACTTTGAAATTTCAGGGCTGGACCAGCTTGGAGGTAGTGGAGCAAGAAAAGACAGTGTCTTCTCCCCCCCCCCCCCCCCCCCCCCCGCTCTGTGACATCAGAGCAGCCCAGACGCCCGTGACTGCGGCGTCCCCACGGACCCAGCACATCTGGCTGCTGCACACCTAGCAGACCGCGGTCAGCCCTGGCACTTGGGCAGTTCCAAGCCACTGAAATCAGGCTGCTTAGTAATGAAACTGGCAGCTCCCGGGCACCACCGACAGATCTCTAACACGTCAGCCGCGGGCACAGATGGAGGCAGGTGGGCGGCGGGGGGCTGCCTCTGCCAAGGAGCAGGAAAAGGCTTGTTAAACAGAAAGGCGGAGGGGCCGGAAGGGCTGTCAGCGATCTTGTAAACACTCGAGGCAGCTCTGGCCTGGGCCAGCGCAGTCCTGATTTCAAAGCAATTTAACCGGTGGGACTCCCGATCCCAAACCAAGAATGTTATTAAAAGAAATAACAGAGGCAGCTCGGGGGCTGGTGGTACCTGGATCGCAGCCAGCCCTGTGTGGCCTCGCCGTCCTCCCCTGAGAAGCCCTGGGCTCGGGGTTCCCAGGCCCCCAAGGATCCCGGCCCAGGGAGCTGTGGGCGGGGCTGGGGAGGCGAGTCCAGGTGGGGGACGCTGTCTGAATGGGCTTTGTTCTCTCTGTTCCTGTTCATTTTGATCTGGAGAAAGATATCAGGGCTGACACGGTGGCACATGCCTGTGAGCCCCCCGGCTCAGGAGGCTGAGGCAGGAGGATTGAGAGTTCAAAGCCAGCCTCAGCAACTTAGTGAGACCTAGTCTGCAAAATAAAATATAAAGAGGGCTGGGGGTGGCTCAGCGGTTAAGGGTCCCTGGGTTCAAACCCCAGTCTTAAAAAAAAAAAAAGATATCAGGCTTGTCCCTCCCCTCTGCTTGGCCAGGGCGAGACTGAGGCCCAGCCCCCAGCAAGGCAGGGTGGGCCTGGAGCTGGGCCTGCTCCACGGCGACTCCTGACCTGGGCCGGGCAGTCCCGCCCGAGGCTCCCGAGCCTCCAAGGCTCCCCAGCCAGGGGCAGGACAAGGGGCGCCTGGGTCTAGGAGCCCCTCTCACCCCACGGTTGCCTTGCAGGTGTTCCAGCGCCGGGAGGACGGCTCCGTGAACTTCTTCCGGGGCTGGGAGGCGTACCGGGAGGGCTTCGGCCAGCTCACGGGGGAGCACTGGCTAGGTGAGACCCGCCACCGGCCTGCTGGGCCCTCTCCCCACGCACAGGCACTGCCCGGGCCCGGCCCCTCCCAAGTGGGTGGCAGTCTGAGGTCCCCTGGCCTGGGCAGGCCTGAGGCCACTCACAGGTGTCCCTGGCCAAGGGGACCTAGACGGGAGTGAATGAGGCCTGAGACAATGGAGCCAGAGGAGGGGTGGTCAGTGGTGGGCTGGCTCACGGGCTGAACAGAGAGGGAAGGGCGTCACATCCCTGCCCCCCGCTGTTGGAGTGGCCAGGAGCAGGGCACGAGGGAGTCTTGGTCTATGGAGGACACTCTGGGACCAGGTCACTGTCCTGGTTGCTGGAGCCATGACAGGTCCAGAGCACCAGGTCATGGTGGGACCAGGAGGACCAGGGACAGCTGGTCAGCAGTGCCCAGTGCCCTTCTGGGGAGGCCAAGCGTGTGAGCCGCCGGCTGACCTAGTCCGTGCCTGGCACGAGGAGTGCGCGGGAGGCTCTGGTGATCTCATTGTCATTACTTAATCTTATTTTTTTTTGGTGGGGTTCTTTTTTTTTTTTTTGTCTTTTTTGGAACTGGGGGTCGAACCCAGGGCTTTGCGAATGCAAGGCAGACGCTTTGCCACTGAGCTACATCCCAGCCCTCATTGTCATTACTTGACGCAGCACCTCCTTTAAACTCCCTCTGTATTTCAAACTTTGGGGAACCTTATTGAGTTTCATTCTCACCGATGATCACGAGGCTGGGTCCTGGGTCCTGCTCCAGGGGAGGGGCGGGGGTTGACGTGACTCAGACGCAGTCCCAACCGTGCTCTGTGGCTCCTCTGCGGGCACTGCAGCTGCCACCACAATCCCGGGGGGTCTTTCTTCACCCCCAGAAGGACGCCTGCCCTCTGGGGCCCGAGCAGGTTCTCTCACGCCTGGGGAGCGGGCCCAGGGGGAGGAGCAGGGGCAGAGGGAGCCCACCTGGACTCTCAGAGGGACCCCCGGGAGGGTGGGTGGTGCCACCCTGCACAGCCCGCCTGCTGTCTGCCCGGCGGAGTGTCCTACAGACGGCAGCTCCTGCGACCTCCGCCTACCTAGGAGGGACTCCTTTCTGCCTTCCACAGAAGGGGAGATGGAGGCACCTGTCACAGTGTGTGCAGGGTTGGGCGCCCCAGCCCTGCCCTTGAACCTCGCCCTGCACTGAGCCAAGGAAAAGCCGGGCAGGGTGGAGAGGCCCTGGCCAGGAGGCCCTGCCCCAGCCCACTCCGTCCAAGGGGTGTACAAAGCCGAAGCAGAAGGCGTCCAGGGAGGGGCCTGTCCCCACACGGCCACCCGCCACCTGGGAGCTGCGTTGGTGTCCTGGCTGCTCGGCGGCATCTTAATTGAAATCTATCAGCGGCCTCAGAAGGTGCGGGAGGAAGCATTAAAGCGGGGCCTTTATTAGTTCTGCGGAGCCAGGGCCTGACAAGAATGCCAAGTCCAGCCGGCCTCAGCCTCCCGGTGTGGCCGCCCTCTGCTTCTGCATGCCGGCTGGGCACCTTCTTCTTGGGTGCTTTTCCTATTGAGTTATGGGAGCTCTTTATATATTAAGGTCATTGATCCTGTGTCTGATACGCATGATACAGAGGGACTGCCCCTGGCTCACCCATCAGCTTCTTTTGTCTTTTGGTAATTCTTACTTCCTAGAAGTTTTAGACTTTGAGGTCGTCGATCCTGGCAGTCTTTTTGTTTATATCTCTGAATGTTAGGCCCGGATTCCTCACCCCCATTTTATCAATGTCTCTGGCACTTTTGGGGGGATGATTTTGGGAATTTTGTTTTAGGTTCATGATTTTAATGCCCCTGGGTGACCACATGAGACCTGGGGGCAGAAGGCTTCCCGGTTTCCTCCCCGCCCTCTTGACTTGAGCTCTGGGGAGGACGTCGGGGCTGCCTTCACCCTCCAGGGCCCGGGTCTCGGGGAGGAGCGACTCCCCATTCTGGCAGAGACCCCGGAAGATCCCCGGGGCTGGGAGAGCCCGGAAGGCTGAGTGGAGAGAGGCTGAGGGAGGAGGTGTCCGGTGCTGGAGGAAGGGTGCAGGGGGTGCTGCCCCCGCGTCCCCACCCCTTCATGGGCACCAGGAGATGAGTGTCACTTCACCAAAGCGTTGGTGGGCTCAGGATGGCCTCTGGGCACCAGCAACCATGTGGTGGTGAGCGAGAACCTCCCAGAATCCCCTGGGGCTGGCTCCCTCCCACCCTGTTCCTGGATCATGGGATTCGTCCTGGGCAAGGTCTGAAAAAGAGCAAGGGATCTGGTCCTTCCGCCTGGGTTCAAATCCCAGTTCTGCCCCTCAACAGCTGTGTGGCGTGGGCCACTCACTAGGCCTCTCTGAGCTTCACCCTCCTCCCCTGTGCAGCAGATCCCCAGCCACCTGGATAGCGTGTGAGGGGGCCAGGCACTGGGGAGGGGCTGCGTGGAGGGGGCTCAGCCTCGCCCTCTGCCCTCTGAATCATTCCTCTGTGTGCCCGTGCCTGCCAGGTGGTGGCTGTAGTCACCCTGAGGCCCCTGGGTCAGGGAGGGGGAGGGCAGCTGGCCCTGGAGGAGAAGGCGGGACCCTGCGCTGAAGCTGCGAGCCCCTTGGGGAGGAGCAGGGCTGACACAGGAGCCGGGAGGCCTCCCGCGAGGTCTCACCTCTCTTTCCCGTCCCCTGGGCGGGGGGGGGGGAGCAGGAGAAGGAGGGCAGGGGCAGGCCAGACACAGGCCAGGCCTTGGAGATGGCAGGAGACGGGCAACACCTTGGCCTCCTGGGCTCAGCCAGCGTTTATTGAGCACCTGTTATGCTGGTGTCAGCAGTGGCCAGGACAGACGGACTGCTCTCATGGAGCTTCTGCCGGGTGGGGCAGCCACAGGACAGGCAGCTGGACCCGAAGGACGGACCCTGAAGGGGGTGCCTCTGGGATCGGCAGAGGAGACTGCCAACCCAGACAGGAGGTCAGACAGCCTTCCTGACCTGGAAAGGAGGAGTGGGGACAAGTGGTCCTCGGCAGAGGGAACAGGATGTGCAGAGGCTCCGAGGACAGATGAGGAGTGCGAGTTCCATTTGCCACCTGGGGATGAGGGAGGAGGATGCCAATGTCCCCAGACTGTTCCTGTTTTTCTTCCAGCCATCCACTAGAGTGGGAGGCATAGCCCAACTTAAAGCGAGCAGAGAAAACCAAACATGAAAACCATCAGTCTCCAGGCTCCTGTCAAACACAGGCCTACAGGAAGAAGGAAGTAGCCCAGAGCTGATGGCACCCACTTGGTGGTTGCTGCCTTTTCTTCACCAAACACGAGCTCAGCTCTTGTTTCCCCTCAGTTCTCTCTGGGAGGCACGTCCCAAGCCCGTGCCCTCTCCCACCATTCTCTTCCTCCCTCAGGGCTCAAGAGGATCCACGCCCTGACCACGCAGGCGGCCTATGAGCTGCACGTGGACCTGGAGGACTTTGACAACGGCACCGCCTACGCCCGCTATGGGAGCTTCGGGGTGGGCTTGTTCTCGGTGGACCCCGAGGAGGACGGGTACCCGCTCACTGTGGCTGACTACTCGGGCACTGCAGGTGAGGCTCCGGCTACAGCAGGGCCGGGGAGACGAGGTCTTGCCTCGTCTGCACTCTGGGGTCGGGGTCAAGGCCACTGATCAGCACCTCCAAGTCCTGTTTTGCAGACCAGGAGTCAGGGCTCCCAGGGCCTCGCAGAGGCCTCCGGGCTGCGCATCCCTGGGCTGTGCGTCCCGAGCCATGGTCTCTGGGCTGGGGCAGGGCGCGAGGAGAGGGGGCGTGGCAGAGCTGGGAGGAGCCGTGAAGACCACCTGGGGACGCCCTGGTGGCCCCACGTGTGCACACGTGCAGGGGCTGGAGTGCATGAGGTGTGTACACCTGTGCGTGTGCAGGGTGTGTGTACATGTGTGTACACTCATGTCAGGGGATGGGTCACAAGCACACGTGGCCAGCGAGCCGTGCGTCTGTGCCTGTGCTCATGCCTGCAGTGCACCTGGGCGCGCCTGGGCCGGAGTGCACACCTTCGTGCGAACTTTTGCGCAGGTGACTCCCTCCTGAAGCACAGCGGCATGAGATTCACCACTAAGGACCGTGACAGTGACCATTCGGAGAACAACTGTGCTGCCTTCTACCGTGGTGCCTGGTGGTACCGTAACTGCCACACTTCCAACCTCAATGGGCAGTACCTTCGTGGCGCCCACGCCTCCTATGCCGACGGCGTTGAGTGGTCCTCCTGGACCGGCTGGCAGTACTCACTCAAGTTTTCTGAGATGAAGATCCGGCCGGTCCGAGAGGACCACTAGACTGGCAGTGTTCAATCTGAGTGTCCTCCAGCCACACCCCATGGCGCTGCCCCTACCCCCACCTGTGTCCACCCCTGCCTGCTGCTGAGAACCTTCTCTGCCCACCTGTGCATGGCTGACCTGCTTTCCAGGAGGGGAGGGCCAGACCAACCTCGTCACTAACTCCCCAGGGGACGGGGGTCACACATCACCTCCTTGCCCTCCTGCCCGCCCACTCCCTGTTTGCCTCTGCTGATGGGGCCTGGTGAGCTTCTCCACCCAAAATCCTGCCGCCTAGACTGTGGCTCCTGTGCTGTGTCCGCCCCTCCTGGCAGGGTCCGTGGGGTCCGCCGCGCGCCCTGGTTCTGGACGGTGCCCCCAGGCAGCCCGAACCCCTGGCAATGAGGCGACAGAGAGCGAGGGGCTTCAGCACCGCGGCCTTTCCAAGAGACCAGTGGGGGGCGCTCTCCTGAGCCCAGTCCCGAGGCCCGAGGCCCTCCCAGCACCTGCCCATTTCCTGGGGGCCTGGAGTGCTCACCCTTCCCCAGAAACTGAGCCCTGCCATGCCCCAGGCCAGGCTGGGCACTGCTGCCTGCAGGGACCCGGGTGGGGGCCAGCTGAGACCCCACTCTGTGCCCGGGGCAGGCCTCCAGGCCCTTGGCTTGCTGTGCCCGTCGTCTCCACCAGGCTCAAAGGAGGCCCAACCTGGCTCCCGCCCAGCCTCCCTCCAGCCTCCCTCCAGCCTCCCGCCTTCCTCCTGCCTGGCTGGCGGCCGGGCCCATCCTGCCCGGGACTGCAGCTCTTCAGGAAGGTCTCCCTTTGGGCCCTGCCCTGCTGAGGGTCGGGGTGGCCTGGAGGGTCTCATGGGCCCTTGGAGGCAGGCTGGGGTTCCAGCCCTCAGCCGCCTGCCCGAGCCCTGGGACCCCATGTTGGCAGCAGGACCAGCCCCAGGGCTGCTCATCCAAGTTCCTGCCTGGGGGACCTAGTGGGGGTCCTGGGGACAGCCAGCAGCCAGCCTGTGCCCCACCAGCGCCTCCTCCTCCTCCTCCTCCTCGGTCAGGAGGGACCTGAACCCGTGACCTGAGCGTGGGCCTGCTCCCTGCTCGCCTGAGGGCCCCGCCTGGCCGCTTGCCCTGGACAGCGCCTCACTCTGCCTGGCCTCGGCTTCAGCGAATGTCAGCAGCACGTCTGTCTGTGTGGCCAAAGCCCTGGGTACTGGACAAGGCCAGGCTGCGGCCCATTGGGCATCAGCTGGAAGCAGAGGCAGCCAGGAAGCAGCTCAGCGTGGCCAGAGCGGGGCTGGAGCCGCCAGAGCAGGTGGCTTCCCCTCTGCAGGAACCAGGAGCACCAGCGCCGTCATGGGGCAGGGCCGGGCGGGCCCACAGCTCATCCCGGGGGCTCTCCCATGGCCCCAATGGAGCCGGCCTCTGCTGCCAGCCTCGCCGTGCCAGCCTCACTGTGCCAGCGCTGCCTAGGCACATGCGCTCTCTGATGTGTCATCAAACAAGCCCCCGTGAGCGCCGTGCTAATGGAGTCACAGATGTGTGTGGCGGGCGGCGCGGCTGCCCGTGCCAGGCTTGGCTGCGGCTCAGACTTGCTGGAGCTCTGCCCGGTGGGCAGCAGGGGGAGGGGCAGCAGGAACAGGTGAGGGCCGCCTACAGGGGTCCGTCACTCCCCAGGGCACCAGGCCAGGGCTGGCACCACTAGGGGATGTGGCCTTCCTGGGACTGGCGAATGCACACAAGGCCCGTCGCAATGAGGCATGTCAGGGCAGCAACCTGCTATCCCCATGTCCCCAGTGGGCATCTGACATGGGCTGGCAGAGAGCAGACGGTCCTGGGCCACAGCCCTGGCCTTGAAGAGCCCACAATCTCATGTCCATGCAAATGGCCGCCCCTGAGATAGGAGAGATCACAGGAACCGGGGCACGCTGGGAGACCGTAGGGCCTGAGGGGTGAGTGACCAGGCCCACTGTCTGGTATGGGCGGAGGTCACCAGGACCCACTGTCATTGCACACAAACCTTGCCCCACTGGGCCCAATTTGATGGCCTGGCAGTGGGCTGCCCATGTCCCGGGATGTCACCTAGCCCAACTCCCTCCCCTTTACTTCCTTCCTTGGTGAAGACGGTGAGCCAAGCCATGCCGCTCCACGGGGACCCGGGCGTTACTCGCTGACTCCCCACCGACTTTGGAAATGTCCTCTGCAAGCCCGCGGGCTCTGGGGCCTCAGCCCAGTCCCCTGCTTCTCTCTGATCCTCTCAGAGCATGAGGCCAAAGGCCACTCAGCTGGTGGCCTGGGCTCGCCAAGAGCAGAGGGTGGGAGGACCCTGGTTCACACCCTGGTGGCCTCAGCCATAGCCAGGAGACATCCCCCAGCTGCGCTTCCCTGAAGCTGCCTAGGAACGGGATTTCTGCCCCGGGGATGAAGGTGATGTTGGCAGTGCCCATCGTCCTGGTGCCCCTCGCTTGACCGCCACCCACCCTCATCCACACAGGCGTCTGGTGGCTTGGCTGGTGGGAGATGGTGTCTTGTCTCTCTCCAGCCGTGATTCGGGGAATTTGCTGTCAACGTGGACTGCCACCGGGGACTCGGGGCCCTGGCAGGAGAGGGAGGAGGGATGGGCAGATGGGACCTGGGCACGGCCTGCTGGCCCCCACAGATCCCCGTCCCCTGTAGGAGTCAGGACGCCAAACTTGGAGCCAGGTGACCCTCCCGCCGATCCCCAAGGTCCTCCGTTTCTTCATCTCCTGGCAGAGAAGTTGCCCCAGAGCTCCGAATGGCCCAGGTGGCAGCAGACTCAGCAAACCCGGGCCTGGGGTCTGGCCTGAGGGGATGGGGGCGAGGACTGATGGGCAGCTTGTCACATGGCCTTCAGTGCGCTGGGACTGTGCAGGAACTCTGCAGGCCAGCCAGGCACCCCGTGGGCAGAGCCCGGTGTGAGGCCTGAGCTGCAGGGGCTGTGCACTGGGCGTCCCGTGGTTCCTGTCTGTAATAAAGTCTCGTGGTGACCCGGCTGCAGCCTCAGCCTGTAACCCTGCTTGGTGTCCATGTTACAGCACGAGGTGGGCCAGACGACACCAGGTTTCCCAGTATCTCCCTAAATCGCTGAGGCTGGCCTCAAACTCGTGATCCTCCTGCCTGGGCCTCCTGAGTTGCTAGGATTACAGGCAAGGGGCTGCTGCACCTGGCAAGAAGAAAGGCCTTTTTTTTTTTTCTTACAGTGGGGATGGAACCCAGGACCTCGCCCATGACAGGAAGCTCCCCATCATAAGCCACATCCCTGCCCCCCCACTTTTATTGGAACAGCCAAAGGGCTCTCAAGGCAGCTTTGCTGCTCAAGAACTTTTGGCGGAGCCAGCTGGAGGCTCCGTGGACGATGGTGGCCTGGGCCTGGCCAGCAGGGGTGGGAGTAGCCACGGCCCAGTGACTGGGCTTCCCCCTCTCCCTGGGCCTGGGCCACCTGGCATCCCCCAGCGTCCTCGGGGTGACACCCTGCCCTGCGGGCCTCCCAGGGCTGGACTGGCACTCAGAGGCACTGAGACTCTTAGGAACTGACCATCCCTCAGGGCTGCCACCCGTAGAGCAGGAGGGAGCCGGGCAGGCGGGCGGGCAGGCGGGCAGTGCTGCCGGAGCTCCCAGGGCCCCACGGCTCAGCAAGGGACACGGCCAGGGCACAGCTGGCTCGTGGCTGGGCCAGGTGTGGACCCCAGTCCTGGGGCTCACATGTGGCTTCACGGGGGGCCCGGATCAGGGAGTCTGAGGTCCACACGCTCATGCCCGTCTCAGCTTCCTCACCTGGAGGGAAAAGGACAGGCGGTCCCCAGGACCCCAGGCCGCGGGTCAGCTGGGACAGGCTGGACGCGGCCTGGTCCACCTCAGGACGTCCTCAGCCTTTGAGGAGCCACCTGCCAGCCCCTGCCCCAGGTTGCTTCCCCTCGGGTTCCCTGTGTCCACCCCGAGGCCGAAAGCCCCGGGCCACTGGCTGCCCTTCGCAGACCCTGCTGTGCCCACGGGCCCAGCTTCACGGCCTGTGCTTCCAGGCGGCCCAGACCGGCACCTGTCCTGGTGGAGTCCCCTTCTCGGCACCAGAGGCCCCGCGAGCTGTGGCACTGCTGACACCCGCCTGCTCGGGAGTCGCGGAGCCCGGCTGCTGGAAGGAGCTGGGACTGCCTCGGGAGCCAGGCTTCCAGGCTGTGGGCTGGGGGACGCCTGGCCAGTCCTCAGAGCCGGGAAGTTCGGCACCAAGCCCAACATCTGCCCTGGCTCCAGGCTGGCCACTGATGCTGCCCCATTGAGCCCAACAGGGCACTTCCTGTGCCCCACCCAGAGCCACAGGCCTCAGCCCTAGGGCCCTTCTTGGAGCCCAGTAGGTCAAAGCTGAGTATTTCTTGGGGTGTGGGGTGGCCTGCAGGGGCCCACACGGCCCTCCTGCCCACAGCTGGCCCCAGGGCATCCTGCCAAGCTCAGCTTAGGAACCAGGACCTCGAATTCTGCACCCAAAAGAACTGAAGCACAGAGAGGTCATGCTGCTGGCCCAAGCCTCACGGCACAGAAGGATCTATGGAAATCAGCAGCCAGTGTCACCACGGCCAGCTCCCCCCACCACGCACTCACACGTGGGCACATGACGCAGGTCTGTGCACACAGGTCTGAAGCCAGGGCCAGATCTGAGGCAGCCTGGCCAGCCAGACTCGCCCCGCACCTGCAGCTGCAGCCCCTTCCGCAGGCCGCCAGGGACGTGTCCAAAGGCTGTCCACATCCCCCAGCACCCGAGACACAGGTGACCTGCCAGCTGGGTGGGGGCCCCTGGAAAATCCTCTGGGCTCAGTTCCCAGCTTGGTGTGAGCAGCCGGCCCCAGGCCACAGGAGAGTGGCCACGACTGCCCACTGTCAGCCAGGGCAGAGCTGGGCCAGGTGAGGACAGAGGCTGGCGGCTCCTGCTGTGGCCTGCAGAGCTCCTCAGACAGGGCAGGGCCATCCTGCGGGGGGGGGACAGGGAGGCCCAGGCTGAGCCCCACGCCCCTTGGCTCTGGAGAGCAGGCCCCACGGCCTCCACCTGCTAAGCCACGCAGCCCTGTGCGGTCAACTCTCGAGTGCCCCAGCAGAGCAACGTCCGACTCTGCAGTGGTCAGTGGCCACATCAGGGCAGAGCTGATCCCGCAGGAAGCTGCCAGGGCAGGTCCCCGATAAAAGGAGCGGCCTCGCAGCACCCACCATGCAGTTCCTGTCGCGTCCTCACGACTAAACACTCAGGGTCACTCCAGGTGAGCTGGGCTGCAGGAAATAACCACACAAGAGACAGATACCTTTTTCTTTGGGTCCTGTGACCTTAGGGGTCTGGAAAGAGAGAGAGAGAGAGAGAGAGAGGAGCACGTGCTGACCCTTTTATTGAGGAGAAGCCATTCAAACGAGGCCAGGGGTCAGGTGTCAGGGGCTGGCTCTAGCCTGGTGGTGTCTGCTGTCAGCAGGTTGTCTGACACCTGGGTAGGCCACACCCAAGGGCAGAGCAAGAGAAGGGGACAGGGCAAAGGGGTAGGATCACAAAGGAACAGGGGAGTGTAGCTCAACTCCATGGTGACACGCCTACACCTGAAGACAGGCCCTCAACTTCCTGAGCTGGGACGACGCCCAAGTCACCAGGAAATGTAGTGATAGGTCAGAGCCTCTTGCTTCAGGATGGAAGGCGGGGTCACTCAGAGTGGCTCCCCACAGTTGCCTGTGCCCCACATGGATGGTGGCCCTGGGAAGCAGGTGGAAGCACACCCTGCCCATGAGCCATCTGGGAGAAGCCACCTGGTGGCAGGAGGCTGGGAGTGACAGAGGCTGTGTCCCCACTGTGGGCACCAGTGGGGAAGGAGCAGGAGTCGATGACCACATGACCCACACGGCGCCCTTGCCACTGTCCACACTCTGTTACAGCCTGGCCTTGGGGTCCCCTTGCTGTGGCCTGGAGGTGGAAGGGATGACTCTCAGAGGGTGATCTCAGAGGGACGAGAGGGCCACGTCCACCCAGCGGGACAGTCAGCAGAATTTGAAAACAACGTATCACTCTGGGCCCGGTAGGGGAGTGCGAGGGGGAGAGCCAGAGCATGCATTAAGGGACAGCGACTGTGGGGCCAGCCATGGGCTGGAGAGGGCCCAACTGGCCCCACAGCACCAGCGCCCACTGCCAGCCTCGCCTCGGGCTCAGGCAGGCGAGGTGCAGCACCTCTCGCCTTCCTGTGCGAGGGGAACGGCCATAGGCCGTCGCTGGCTTCATGGTGTGTGACTTCCTACTAGAGCAGCCGGCGGGAGTGTGGGGGGTGGCCATCCCCTCACCCCATCTCCTGGGAGAGCCAGGCTGGCCCACAAAGACGTGTGCATTGGATTATTAAGAGTGGCCCGGGAGCTGCAGCCCGAGGACTTGAGGGTGGGTGGCTGGTGCCCACGATGGGCAGCTAATGATGGCCACTCTCCTCCAAAGGGCAGCATCCGCCCCGCTCATCGGGCCACATCCTGTCGCGCTGGCCTGCATTGTGTGGCCAGCACGGCCCCCTCCTTGACCACCAGTGCTCCCAAAGGAATCCCAGGGTCAGGAATGCGCGGCAATCAGGCAGCGTGGGGAGGGACGCCTGGGGGCCTATAAAGCTGGCCTCCCAGACAGGGACCCCGAGAAGCTCCGCCAAGCCCAGTGCCAGGCCCAGGGACGCCCCTCCCGGGAGTAGCCGGCGGCATGGTGAGTACAGCCCTGTCCCGGCAGGAGCTCTGGGAAGGCCCTCAGCAGGAGCTGGGCATGGGCGGGCAGCAGTGGGCACCCGAACCAGGGCACGGGAAAGGCCCAGCACTGGGGAGACCTGACCTGGTCCTGCCACAGCCACTCTGCCAGGGCCAGGCCCTTCTCCCACAGTGCTCTTCCTGCCACTTCCTGGGCCTCCCTGTGCTCCGTGGTGAGGCTCCCCAGTTTCTCCCAGGTTCTCAAAGGGTCTGGACTCCCCCAAAGGGGAGAGTGGCCACATTCTGCTCCACGTCAAGATGTGCCCTTTCTCGAGGCCTGGAGGGCACCCCAGGTATACCTCTCCCCAGGAGGGGCTGCTCCCGGGTCCACATTCTTTCCACCAGGAGCATGGGCAGTGTGTGCTTGTCCCCTGCAGAAAACTGCCCACGCCACCAGGCCCTGATGGGAGAGGGAGAGCCAGCCTGACTGGTACAGCCAGCTCCTGTGGGGGGCTTCCCTGGCAGCCGGAGCCTGCCCCAGCCCCAGGGGGAGGGAGCCCAGGAGAACTGCTTTGGGCAGAGAGCAAGTTTGCTCTGACGATTCTTTGAAGCTTTCTGGCTGAGCTCACTGTGAAATGTTTTCAAGGAGCCGTTTCTGGAAAGAGCCCTGGGGAGTTTCTGGAAGGAGCTCTTCTCCAAAGCGGGTGCTCTCTCTTCCAGCTTCAGAGCCACTACTCAGAGGACGAGCCAGCTCTGCTCACCCTCGGTCATTACCAAAAAGTCTCCTCTGGGCGAAGGGAGCGGCTTAGTGTCAAGGCTGGCGCATTCCGGGAGGTCTCTTGTTTTAGACAGTCACACATGGGGGACAGCAGCAAGTCAGGGTGGGCCACACTTGGGTCCAGCACAGTTAGAAGCCGTGGGACCCTGGACGCTCACGTTGCCCATCTGAGCTGATGGGGATGGCACCCCTGCTCTCAGAGGGGCCTGGCACCCCAAGAAACCATCCCAGCCACGAGAACCGGGCGTTCAGAGACTCCACTTTCTGGCCCGCACCTGGGCATGATCCTTCTTCCTTTCTGGTGATTTCCTGCCTGAAAAAGTGGGAATGACACTGGTGACAGTTTACATGGAGCAGCAGTGCGGTCCTGCAGGGAAAGCTTGTCGCTCAGGCCCCCCATGTCCACTGTGTGTGTGGAGGATCGGTCAGGTCACCTGCTCCCCCCCAGTTGAGTGTCTGAGTTAGGGCAGGGCCACCAATTCCCTGCTCTCAGGAGCCACCTGTTCCTGCCCTAGAGACAGCAGAGAGGATCCCGGTAACCAGCTCACCAGACCCACTCACTGTCAAGTGCAAACAGAGAAACTGACACTTCTCACTTCCTACCCCGTGGCTCTGAGATGATAGGGCCCGAGAGTCAATAATTATAATGAAAGGAAATGAATCCAAATTCCCGCAGCCCTCCCGGGGCTGCCTGGGCACCGCTCTGAGCCGTTCAGAGCCTGAGTGTGACAGCGCTAAGCTGCTGCGGCGGTTGTGTGGCAGGGACCGCGGGAGCGTGAGAACCAGCCTAATTGGTACAGTCAATTCCTGAGCCTGCTAAGAAAAGAAAGGCCTGGTCCCCAAGGCTGCTTGGAAGCTGGGCTCAGGTGGGCCATCCAGCTGGGTAATGACCACCCTTGGGTGGTCACCCAGGCCTTGGGAGTCCGTTGATGGACTGTTGAGTGTGGCCACAGCACGGCCGTGACCCTCTCCCTCTCTCCTCTGGTCAGGTGAGGAGCCATCTCTCCACGCCCTTCCTCCTCCTCCTGCCACTGGGAGCCTGTCTCCCTCTGCTGGACACGAGGGAGCCCACAGACACCGGGGGTGCCATCGCAGCCGGTATGAGCTGGGCCCACCTGGCCCAGGGGTCCAGACCCCACTTTGTGTGGGGCCCCGCCAGGTGGCCAAGAGCACCGCACGCACAGGCCCCACTTGCCAGGGCTGAGGGGCTGCCGGCCTCCGGTGGGGAGCAGGCTGGCCTCCGCCTCGCCAGGCAGGACGGCAGTGAGGCCCCGGGCGAGAAGGCAGGTGGCCCGTTAGGGAGCCTGGCCGAGGAGCTCAGTGGCTACAGCAGGAAGAAAGGCGGCTTCAGCTTCCGCTTTGGCCGGCGTCGTCGGAGGGCCAGGCGTTCTCGAGGGGCGGCGCCCCACGTCTCCCCTGCCCTCCTCCTTCAGCCTCCGAGACCCAGACCCGTCGGGTGCTGAGCAGGGGACGGGCGAGGTGTGCGCTTGCTTTTGACTTCTAACTTTGCTGAAGAGAAGAAAAGATAAAGGCAAGGAGGAGCCGCTGCGCCCTGGCGGGGAGCCACCAGCCTGCCCAGCCCCGGGCGGCTCTCGGCGGGGGTGGGGGGGAGCGGCGGCTGCGGGGCCGGGCCGTGAGTGGGTGAGCTGCCGAGCCGCAAGCCGGGAGGGGGACCGTCACTGCGGGGTAATCGGGTTCTCACAGTCTCCAGAGGGACGCCGGCAGCTGGCATTCGAGTGCATCGGCCAGCGAGCACATTCCCTGGGTACAGAGGAGAGACCGGGGAGACCCGACACAGCAAGGCGACAATCTCCTTCTCCCCATTAACACGAGATCCCTGAGGAAGAGGACCTGCCTGGCTGAGCACCTTCAGACCGCGGCCCCCCGCCCCCCGCCCGGCCACCCCTCTGCGGCTGTCCCTCCTGGAGGGCGGTGTTTGCAAGCCCGGAACCCCGTGGGAGATGAACTAGGAAGGAACACGTTTTTGCTGTAGCAGGGTTGCATTTCGAATGCTCAAAATATGGATGTGTTGTGCGTATCTTTTGAAATAAAAGTCGTGACAACTGTGAAGTCATAATGAAATGCCGGCTTCTCCCCAAGTCCTCAGGGCCTCAGAAACTTCCTTTTCCTAAGCTCCGAGCGCCTCTGCTTTGGGGAGATGGAAATCTGCCGCCCGCGCTGGCAGACCTCTCCTCGCATCCCCTTAATTGGCAGCTGGTCAAAGGTACAGGGAGCCCCGGAGCCGGCTCCCTCCTCCTCCGCTTGCTGCTTGGTCCCCGCTTTCCTCAGAACAGGGAGCATTAGGGAAATGACACCCCCACCCGCGGGAAGGCTGGCGCTCAGCCTGGAGTGGCTGCAGGCCCGTGGCCAGGAAGAGCATCCCCTTCAAAGGCTGCCGAGCGTCCCCGCGTCCCGTGTCCGAGGCAGCAGTCAGAAGCTGCTCACTCTGAGGACGCCTATTGATGTTGCTATGGCAACAGCTCCCTCCCCCCTCAGCACTGCGGCTCACCCCGTCCACAACTGAATAATTTTCCATTGAGCTGTCACAATTAATTGGTGGATTTTTATTAGCCTTTTAGAACCACCCTGGGCCGGCCCAGCTGGCACCTTGGAGCATGCCAGTGTTTCCCTTCTATGAGTGACTACGTTCCCCAGTAGCAGCTCTCAGTCTGTGGCAGCCAGAAAGCCACTTCATTAAGGCGACAGATCCGAGCCACCAAAGAACCGCCGCCTGGGGAGAGGACGGCGAGTGAGGTGGGGACAGCCCAGGGTGAGAGCCGTGCCCGCCCGCCGCACACTGCCTCTCCCGGTGCCCACTGTGCCCACACAGAAACAGACGCCCTGCGGCCTTGCCGGGCGCCCTGGGTCCTGGAGCTGCTGTGATAGGGACAAGCCCGAGGGCACCAGGGTCTGGGAGGCACGTCCTCCTCAACTCTCGCCCCTGTCTGAGGAAGAGCTGATCGAGAGGCTCTTGGAGGGCTGGGGTGAGCTCAGCGGCAGAGGGCTCCTGCTGTGCCCCAGGCCCTGGCTTCAGCCCCCAGCACCACAGGAAAAAAGAACTCCTGCAAAGCATTGCGGTCATCACCTGCTACATGTCACTAGGGGGGTGGACACAACCCCTGGAGCATCATCTGTAAGGATGGGCAGAAAGGGGCGATGTGATTCCGACTGATTCCCTTGCCTGCAGGTGTGCTCAGTCAGCTGGGGTGCCCAGCCCACTTTGCGGGGGACAGTAATCTGGAGTGACCCTGTCCTGGCTCATCCACACGCTCATCAAAGACCAGGTGGACAGGCCAGGCTGAGGCAGAGAGGTGCCCTGGAGCAGGTCCCCTGCCCACCTGCACTTGCCAGCCTCCGTGCTCTCAGAAAGGACGAGCCCTTGGCCACTGGTCTTGAGAACCTGGAGGACGCGGAGCTGAGCCCTCCGCCCAGCCCTGCCCACGCTGGGTCTGCACTGGCAGGTGTCCATCCAGCAGGCTTAGACGGGCCTCGGTGGAGGAGCCTGGGAAGAAGAAAAGGGGGTGGGAGGCTTCAAAGCAGTGGCTGAGCTCGGCCACCCTCTCGGCATTAAGAGCCAACGCTTCCTCTGCCCAGTGTGCTTGAACACCTGAGCTCGCAGGTTGAACCGAGGGCTCTGACCTGTTCCACCACTGCCAAGACACCTGGTCGCACTTCCTCCTCAAGTCCCAGCACCCCCCCACACACCCCGTGGTCCTCCCTGGGGAGAGCTCTCGTCGCCTCCAGGCTGGTGAAGGTGACACTCAGGAAGCATTTACTTTGGAGCAGGGATTCAGCCCCCTAGTGCCCAGCTTTCTCCCCCAGCCTGGCGGCTCCTGCTCCTCTCCAGAGCCCTCGAGAGCTGCCTACAGCTGTTCCCTATGTTTACTTCAGACACAGAAAGGGGTTCCTCCTGGTGTGCCCTTCAGTGGCTCACGTCTGTCTGTAATCCCTGACTTGAGAGGCCAAGACAGGAGGATGGCAAGTTAAAGGCCAGCCTGGGCAACTTAGTGAGGCCTTAGTGAGACCCTGTCTCAAAATAAATAAATAAATGAAATGAATGGAAAAGCTAGGCACGATGGCCACGCTTGTGATCCCAGCAACTGAGGAGGCTGAGGTAGGAGCATCGCAGGTTTGAGGCCAGCCTGGGCAATTTAGCAAGACCTTGTCTCAAAATAGAAAATAAAAAGGGCTGGGATGTAGCTCAGTGGTAGAGCACCTCTGTGTTTAATTCCCAGTATTGGGGGTTGGGGGGGTGGGGAATTCAGAATACTTCTGTCTATAGTTTCCTGTATGTTTCAAAAATCAAAATTCTTCTTTTGGAGGGCGGGTATCAGGGATTAAACTCGGGCGCTTGACCACTGAGCCACATCCCCAGCCCTTTTTATTTTGCATTTAGAGCCAGGGTCTCACTGAATTGCTTAGGGCCTTGCTTTTGCTGAGGCTGGCTTTGAACTCGCGATCCTCCTACCTCAGCCTCCTGAGCTGCTGGGATTACAGGCACGTGCCACTGCACCCAGCCCAAAAAAAGGTTCCTGGGGTAGCTGCTGTGTGAGTAGGAAGGAGTCACCTCCTTTAATTTGGCTCCAGTGTGAAGACGCTGCAGCAAAGAGGCTGCTTGAGACCTCAGCCCTGATGAAGCCCTTGTCACCTGGTGCTGGTTGTCCCCTTGGGAACGCCCTCTCAGACCAGGTCTTGGACAGGCTCTCTAACTAGTTACTATGGCAGGCACGAGGCAGGGGTGCTGGGTGACCACCAAGAAGCCTCAGCTTTTGTGCCCACTGAGGACAGTGACCGACCCTGCTCTACCGAAGGACAACGCGAGGGTTCCACATGGGACAGCGTCTCCAGGAACAGCCTTCACTGAGGTCCAGCGTGCATCACAACGTGTACCAATTCAAGCTGACCATGTTTTGTGGTGACACACCCACTAGCCGGTGACATCCAGGCTGACCCAGAGCTGTCCCCACACCGTGCCCGAGCAGTACCACAGTGGAGCTACAGCTCGCCCCCAGCTGGCTCCTCCCAGGTCCTGTGTGGGCGCCGGCAGGTCGTGACATGGGCCACTCTCGCTGTGCCACTGTTACTCTGTGAGCACCCTGTAGCTTACCCTCTCCTCCCTGAGGAGCAACTGCACCATTTTCAGTGTCTAGGTTCCTGTTCTGTGACAGTGACCGCATCAACAGTGGCTGCCAGCCCCTTGGTGCACTGGGCCCCTGGATGCTTCCTGGTTCAGGGCCTGAGAGGAGGACTCAAAGTCACCCAGACACGCCGCCCCCGTGCAAATGCACATTTTTATGGAGACAGAATATAATTTCTATTAGATTCTGAAGGGGTTCTAGCACCTCAACATGCTTAAGGAACCACGATCTTAGACTGGCAGACCAAACTCAGTGTGGTGAGGTCAGGGGATACGTGGCAGGTCCTCATTTGGGAGACAAGAAGTATATCATGCCACACAGGCACATGGGCTGAGGTGTCGGGTCTCATTTGTGTCAGCTGACTCACACAGATGCCAACACACCTGAGGATGCTGTGACGACCACACAACAGTCCACTTTGCACACAAGGAGCAGCCTCCAGTTGTGGCTGTCACCAGACAGGTCCATGTCTTTTTTTCAGACCAGTCCTGAGGAAGACCCTGCCAGCAGCAGGAAGGCCCCGGGAGGCCGGGTGCCCAACTCCACCCGTGAGCAGCAGCGGCCCACACCTTCTGTGTCTGTGGAGGGAGCAGGGCCTGGGCCCAGTGACAAGCCTGGGGCTTCAAAGGCACCATGAGCAGAAGTGCTACTATCCACCTCCTCTTACCAGTGTCACCCAGCTTGGGTGGAGGCTGGTGGAGGGAGGGTTAGCAGCCCCACCCAGAGGTCCTGTGGAGGTCCCCAAAGGCAGGACACTTGTACTCCTTCTTGTCCACACCAAGAAAGACCGTGCCCGGCATAGATGATGTGGGTGGAGCACATGGGGCTGTGGGTGGGAACAGAAAGTAGGTTTGAAGGAAAAGGAAAAAGGGACCCGACGGATTCACCCAGCCTGCGAGGGCCTCAGGACGCGGCCTCCTCCCCCACTTCAATGACCGTGGCAGCCTGACACAGCCGGTCAGATGGGGCCTGGACGGGGTGTGGAAGCCAACAAGTGCGGGCCAAGGACTCGGAGGGGCCAGAGCGCACAGCACAGCACAGCGAGTGAGTCCTGCAATATCGGCCCCAGGACAAGGGTGACACTGGGCGGGTGGGTGACGCTGGGCGGGTGGGTGACGCTGTCACCGTGGGAACCCGCCACCCCTCTGTTCCATGAAACAATGCTGGACCTCAGCTCAGGAGCCCCAAGCCCACGTCACCCTCCCCACATGCACACAATGGCTTGGAATGACAGGAGTCACAGAACAGAGCAATGTGCCAGCAATTTTATAAACACTTATTTATTTCAAAAATACTACAGAGGAGAGATTTAGATAAAAAAAAAAAAAAAAAAAAACACAGTCATATACAGAAACAAAATGCACTGGACCAAGGGA